GTAGAGGGGCGGTCTAAGCAATGAAGCGCCATCGCCGACAACGCGGCAGACGTCGTTGCCAGTTGTGTTAGTTTTACGAATTTCTTTATAGGTAACATTATTCTTTTCTGGCATATTTTTTAAGTTACTATATTTCTAAAGTAAAAATATAAATTACACGCTGTTGCCTACTCTTATATCAACGTACAGCCGAAGATACCGAACCTAGAATCTTGAAATTTGCAGGTAGGTTATTTGTATAGCGTAAATAAGCATCAAGAAAGGGAACCAGGAATTTCCACCTCGGAGGGGGAAAAATAGAGGTTTAAAGGTTGTATTGAATTTTGTCAGTTTTGAAGTTGGAAGTCTGAAGTTTTGGGTTAATAAAAAACATTTTCACGAAACTTAATGTGACAAACCAAATTCTACGCTGGTGAAGCGGCGGACAACAACTAGTATATAAATAAATATTCACATAATCTTTAAATAAAGTCAACGAAATGCAGTGAAAACAATTATCATGATATTGTATTCCTTTATAAAAATTCTACGCTATAATATATCATATTTGTAAGTAGCTCCTCAATTAATTTTTTAAAAGGTACAATATACAAGTCTTTGAGATTTGGAGGGTTTTCCTTATTTTCAAATGCTATACCTCTGAAATGTTTTTGAATTAAATTGATGGATGTAGCCGTTACTACGTGGTAGGAAATCATAATGAAGAAAAGAGAATTGAAACTTTCTATGTTTTTACCACTATTATTTGTAACTAACGCTACTGCAGTTTTGTCCTCTGAGGACATTTTCAAACTTATACATTAAACTAACAATGATTCGTTACATTAGCCCTTATATACCACCCCTGTAGGCACTGATAGAGGTACTTGGCTTGATTGAGTACCTGAATTTACAGTTAATAATGCGGATGTGCCAATTTTTAAACTGGTGAGTAAACTAAATGATCAAATCGATTTAGTTAGTACCTACAGGGGTGGTATATAAGGGCTAATGTAATGAACCATTGTTAGTTAGTTTAATGTATAAGTTTGAAAATGTCCTTATTGGACGAAACTGCAGTAACGTTAGTTACAAATAAAAGTGGTAAAAAACATAGAAAGTTTCAATTCTCTTTACTTCATTGGTTTTGAATTGTTTATTCATTTACATCATTCAATTTTGAATTGACAAATTTAACGGAAATATTTACTCTGATGATGTTGAATATTGTCGTTATTTTTACAATCTGGCAAATATGTATTTGGTAATTCTTAGCTTTCGTGATTGAATGTGTGATTTATTATTCCATCATTGTTTACGTATGGGTGCATGTGTTATTCAATAAATAGATCCTTTTATATAAATAAGCAAGAGTCATTCAAGTAAGAACTTTTATGTGATGGAGTAAAGAAAACTTTATTTATGAATTTAAATTATATCACAAACTAACATTTCAATGTTTTTCACTAGTCTACACAGCCACAATTTTTTCAAGTCGTGGCATCACCTGGCCATCAAACCAGTTAGTAACTGTTTCATCATGTATTATTTTCCAAGCAATTTGCACCAAGAAATTCCTTCAGTTTGGGAAGAAGATTAAATTCTGATGGTGCTATGTCAGGGCTGTGTGGTGGATGATCTAATAATTCCCAGTGAAACTTGTTTAATTGTGTCATTCTTGCTGCAATGTAAAGCCAAGGATTGTAGTGAAGCATAAAAACATCACAAGAGAGCAGTCTTTGCTAGCAATTTGGAATAGCACACCTAAGTTTCAAGCTCAATTCACAATCGGCTAGATTACTTATTGACATGGTGACAAACAAAGCAATATAACCGCACAATTTACACTCAATATATAAATACTGGTGTAATAACAGAGATTTCAAAAGATTTGGCAGATTTCACATTTTTCTGGTCACATTCAGCTGAATGACTTTTTATCTTGTTGAATAATTCTGACGTTTAAATTTTTCATGAATGTGTTAAATATACAGATATGTGGAATCAAGTGACTCAAAATCTTCAAAGAGATCCTGAATAAGAAAGATTTTGCAATAATAATACAACAATATTTTGAAGAACATCTTCATTTTTTTGCAGAAGCTAAGTTTCCGCTTTTTCCAGATGGAAAATATAAATAAAATCTAAGAGCACATACATAAACGGGCAGAAACTCAATATTTCATCAAACTAGAAGACAGTGTTAAGTATAATATCCATTAATTTGAATACACTTATCTCAATATGTAAGACGCCAGAAGTGCTCGTTTGAGATATATTCTATATCTGTCATTCATTTATTACAACTTTTACTTTATTCAAACTTCCGAACTGAATCTCTTGTAGTTTTTTTTTTATGTTTGAGAATAAATGATAATCAATCACTAGGACCAAGATCTGATGAGTAAGGTGGATGTGGAAACATCCCAAGCAGGAATTGTTCAAAATTCCTTTAATTTTTCATGCCACGTGGGATCTTTTATACTCCTGTTGCGAAAAGAGACCCTTCCACGATTTTTCTGACAGGTTTCGATAAAGTAGCTGACAAAAAGTGTTACATAAAAATTTGAGAAACAGTGTACATTAGGTAATTTAAACATCACCTCTTTGCAATAGCAGAATACTGTACCTAATACCTTTTTGATCCAATGAACTGTCATTGTTGCAAAATGACTCTTTTACATTTCTCTTTGCATATAAAAAATTCATTTTAGCTCATTGTAAGTTTTATACTTGAGTAAAGGGCCAAAATTTTATGCTCTTAATTCAATTCATACTGAATCATTTTCAGGAGATGGAAAATGGTGTAAATTCGATGATGATGTTGTGTCAAGATGTACGAAACAAGAGGCTTTGGAACACAACTATGGTGGACATGATGAAGACATGAACATGACTGTTAAACATTGCACTAACGCTTACATGTTGGTTTACATTAGAGATTCGGAACTCCAGAACGTTCTTCAAGAAGTAAGTACAAAACAGTATCTTCTCACAAAGTATTATTTTAATAACCATCTTTTGTTAGGTCACAGATGCAGACATACCCACTGAACTAGCTGATCGACTAGCCGAGGAGAAGAGAATGGAACAGGTAATAATAATAATTAAGCTTTACTTCCTAACAGAAATAGATGCATTTTCAAGACAATGCAAAGAAAAAAATATACACAATGAAGGTTCAGAGGACTTTACCATATATATTTTCTTATTATCTATTACATTAAATTCAATAATAAAAAAAAAATCTATCAGAGACATTTATTTTTAAAACATTAGGAATAAGACTTCTGTCCTTTTTTTTTGTGTACGGCAAGTAATGTGCTTGCTCGTAAGGGCCGTGGGTTAAATCAGACAGATAAGTATAAATATGTACAAAAAAATTGATGACAAGGGCGCCAAGTAGTTTCTTGTGCACCGACTAGCCTAAACCTGAAATGAAACTACTAAACAATCCAGATACGCGAAAACAATAAGGTAGAATAAATTTGCCTGAAATCAAATCTTCCGAAAGTTATCATTCAGTTTCACTCACGAATGCCCTAGAGCGGACGGACGAAAGAAAAAAAACGTTCCTTTTTTTTCTTTCAAAAAAACTTATCGAGTCGGCTGGAACTATATATCGGGTGTTTCACAAATAGAGTTGCCCTAATTTAATAATTAGCGGTCAACTATTTACAACTAATCGTAACATATCGTAAAACTATTATTCACAAATTTTTCTTAACTTGTCCCATATTTTGTCTGAAATTTTTATGTGAAACGAATAAATGAATATTACATTGTTACAATTAATTGATAATAACATATTTTACATTTTTCAGGTTCGGAGAAAGGAACGAAACGAGGCCCACCTGTACATGACCGTCAACGTTCTGTTAGAAGACTCCTTCGATGGCCACCAGGGTAACGATCTGTATGATCCTGAGCGTGCTCTCTTCAGGGTGTTCAAGATCAAGAAGATGGCAAGCATCGCAGAATTAATGGAAACGCTGGCCGACTCATTCAAGTACCCGCCTGAGCAGATCAGACCGTGGCCTTTCAGCCAGAGGTTGTAGTGTTTTGGATGTTTATTAGGTTTACGGTCGTTTTGGCGGACCATTTTTCTATTGTTTTTGATCATGGGTTTGAATCATGAACAAGAAGTTGAATAAAAGCTTCTCTTAGAAGAAGTAGAATGATAGAAACCTTTGAAAGATAGATTGCTTTGAACCAAACTACATTTGATCTTGCTGTTTCTGATTCACATAATTAATTGAAATTTAATTATCTGTAGAAGGCGATAATTTGAAACAATTACTTTTCCTATAGACATTGAATTGAAGAAATCCGTATTTTCTGCCCCGGTTAGTATATATGAGTGTCATGAATCAATACTGGCGTGCTTAGTGTAAGATGCCAGAACTTTTAGTTCTACGTTTCAATATTTTTTTTTAGTATACCACTAAATTCATTGGAACCATAAATTGGGAAGTACATATTACATGTTTTACTATACAATTCTCAAGACATATAGCCATGGACATGGGTATTAAATGATCTTTGAGAGCGGTCGACTAAAGGGTCCAGAAGTAAAGCTGCGGAAAAAGTATCAAATGTCACAAAAAAAATTGAAATGGTAACTGAAAATTAATTAATGCAAGATATCTGAGATTCATTCTGAATTTATTTGAATATTTTTAAATGGTAGCAGCTATTTTTTTACATAACAAGGTGAGAACAGTTACCATCTTTTTGACGATATAATAGTTTTTAAATTTTCAAAATATTGAAATTTCGTCACCATGAAAAAATCTGTTATTTGAGTCGCATGAGATACTTTTTTCTTATATTGAGATATAAATTTAATTATTCATATTTTCTTCCCTTTTTTTATTCCTCGATTTTTTTATAAAATCTAAATTCAAACGTGAATTGAGAGAATAAAACCTCAAAAATAATTGAGAAATGGTCCCCTTGCACCAATTATAATTGTATCAATTTGATTGATCTTTCCTTATAGTAATGCAGATTTGGTAAATGTCCGGCCATTAGTATTGATATGGCATTTCATTGCATGTATGGAATTACATAAAAAAGTGTATTTTTTCATTAACCCTAGAGAGCTAACGTGTTTTGAATGTGCTAAATTACTATCCTATCGTAAAATTTACACGACCTTTTCATTTTACCTTAAAACTGTTAAAGTAAAATGGCGGACTAAAAATGAAATGTATTCCAAACGAAAACACAATAATGTGTTATTAACCTCAATAACTTGGGCTTTTTCGATGAAGGAGATATGGAGGATTGATCATGTGTGGTTGATAATGAAAGTACTTTTTTTGTACATATGAAACAATTTGTCAAATCCAAATATAGAGGTTTTGAGTTTGTGATGTGTCACATCCAGCAACTCTTGTAGTATTTATTCGTTATGTATATGCAATGTTCCAACGATAGTCAATTTTTAAGGATTAGCTAACATTGTTTTCGCTAAATCCACTGACACGAACCAGTTGTCCATAGTTACAATCCGATTCGACCCGTGGACTGTTTTTGTCAATACATTCACATAGTAAGTATTGTAAAATAAGTCTTATGTAAATAAAAGCAATTTAAAGCAAAGTAACACGAGCGGAAGGACCTTGGTCAATGGCCAGTTGAACAAAGTTGTGATTTTGTTCAATATACTAAAATTATTTTTCATACATTTTCTTGAGTAAGGAGCAGCATCAATCATATATTTGGTTCCAGAATCACAAACCATTACTATTTTGAGTCTATATTTCGCCGGCTTCTTAGGCATATATATCCTAAAAGACATCTTACACAGAATCCCAAGAGTTGTTCATTAATAGTCAGAAATGACCAAATTTATCTTTTAGGCGCAAAAGAATCTGACTCTTAAAGTGAAGGTCTTATGGTTTGATTGTCAAACCGTAGACAGTTTGAGAGGAAACTGAATTGTTTTTCACTCATGACAGATCAATAAATATTTCCTGATATATTTGGATCGAACATGAGGCATGAATTCAAGTGATTATTTTTCATAGACGCTGAGAAAAAAAATAATTCTAATAAGGCCATTACATAATTTTTATTGGTTTTTGTTATTGTTAACGAGTTCTGAGTTTTATACTTTATTGCTTTTTGTTGTATCATTTGATTAGTACGAGGTCTCTTCAAAAAATGAAGTGAATTTAAATTTTTCTCAAAATATATGTATTTATTCATCAATTTCTATTTCGTCCCCATTAAAGTAGTCCCCCTATCTTGGGAACAGAAAAAAGTCGTAGGGGGCCAAATCCGGTGGATACAGTGGTTGAGGCATTATACAAAAGCCTTTAATTGTTTTTCCTTGATACCTGACATTTTCTTTGTATTGCTTTTCGCAAGCGGCACATAACTTTAAAATGATACTCCTTATTGACCGTACGACCATGTGGTAAGAACTCTTTATGCACTATGCCATATGATTCGACGATTTTCCATAACAATTTTCTTTACTTTCTCAACATTTTCATCGGTTGTTGATTTGCTGGGGCGTCCAGAGCAAGCGTCGTCATTCACTTCTTCCCGACCTTCTGTGAAATACTTGTACCACTTGTGAATATTTTTTTGGCTCGATACAATCACCATATGCCACTGTTAACATTTCAAGTGTTTTTGAGCACTTAATTACATTTCCTACACAAAATTTTATGCAAATTCCTTGATATATTTTTTCGATAGCAGATAATCGCCGACCGCGCAAAACACTTCCAAATTATATGCCTCTCACCAACAAACTGAACACGCTAAACAGCTGAAACTGTGAAGATATGTTCGAAACGTGTGTATCAACGTAGAAAAATGAAGAAGGAAAAAAAAAAGAAAAAAACGCTAAACGAATGTACTTTGCCCGCATAATTTGAACATTCACATTATTGTTTGAACATACTTCATATACTCAGCTATCTGGTCTATTAATATATCTTCAAAGAATCATTTAGAATCATCTAGCTCTTTCTCGAGATTCCAACAATTATTACTTTTTGGCTCTGATATACACAACATTGTTTGATGAATACCTTCCAACACGACTCCTTGGAATTATAATCCATCTATGCCCCTTTTTACTTTTTACATGGCGTCGCGGTTAAACTACAATATTTGGATTTGTGTTCATGAGTACAGAGAGCGATATGCCATCTTCATCCTCAATCATATTTTACTGTGAAATCATTTTCACAACATTCAAACATTTTGTGATATATCATCCTCATGATTGAAATGTGACAAATTTATATAATTTGTTTGAGTGTATATTGACAATAATACATTTCACAATTCAAAAAGGAAACAAAAACATGTTATTGTTTGTGCTTATCATTGAATTTCCTTAACATCATCTATTTTTTCAGTAGGTCCATATCAGCGTTTCTTGACATTTTTCAGCCTACTGACCCCTAGAAAATTAAGCACAATTTCAAGGACCCCCTTTAAAAAAAACAAGAATAAGAGGAATTTTAGTTTAGCAATGTAAAAAAAATAACTTTTTCAATGTGAAGGTTGATGCTGATTTTTTGCAACTCATTTAGAAATGTTTCAGTTGATGTTATTACTTAGTTACAATCTCAAATCGGATTCCAATTGTAATCTGTTTCTGTATGTGATTTTGATATATACAATAGTTGATAATGCCTTTTCAGAAAGGTATGTGGATGTAAATATTTCACTGCTTAATTCTATTGATATTTCTCTATAAACTGTTTTTTAAATTTCCCCAAAATTTGATAAGGAAGATTTTTTGAAATTACGGTTTGAAGCTGAATCACATGGTATTTTTATCAATTGATGTTCCTGTACCGTTGTCAAACCGATGACATTTGAAACATCTGTGTTGAAAGGGTCCACTATTCAGTTATTTCTGTCAGGTTCTGGAAAATAATTCCGAAAAGAAGATCCTCAGACAGCAGAGGTGTTTATTCATTTTGTCTTCTACTTGTCTTAGCAACATATTCCCGCCAGATGATTCAAAAAATGCTCCCAGTGTAGGAGAATGATTATAGTTTTTTTTAATTGTACGATTAGTATAGAGGTCAATGTTATCTCTTGCTTGTAGACATAAGTTCAGCTCGTTAAGGCACAGAAATATGACACAATTGTGAGACATTCAAAGTTATTGAAGTGATCAGCGTGTTTGTGCCTACGGAATTTTTCAAAAGAAACATTCTGACCTCCTCTCAGCTCAGTGGACCCCCAGGGGACCGCGGACCACAGGTTGAGAAAGAATGGTCTAAATAGATAAATAGATAGAATTATTTGGTCAGATTATGTAAATTCACACTAATTCTGATGAAGGTGACGGTTTTTTTTCTCAGAAACATTGACATAACTTTTGATAAAGTACATAGTTTTTATAGAATGTTAGTCATTTTAATCTTGTATTGAATTTTCCATTACTATTTTCATTTTTCAGAATGTCGAATGTGAAATTACCCAAGAAAGGTCAAAATTACGCTTATTTTCCTCCATAAGAAATAACTTTCAATAATTATTCCGAATTCCAAATCTGCATGACTTTTTGCGAATACTTCTAATACACATTTGACTTACAGATACATTATTTCCTTTCTTTAGAGAATATACAATTGTATAGGATATGTCAAAGTAACTCTTTTTCTCATTGTAACAATAATATACATGTTATAGAAAAGTTTCATACAAAAATAAGCACAACATGCAACACTTTGAAATTTACAGGTAACAAATTCACTTACATAATTTGGACTGTTTGTTTTTTTTTGTCAAAATGGCTTTTCATACAAAATTTTTTTTGACGGAACTTGTTCTTATCTTATTTTAAACTTGATTGTCAGGCTATTTTTCTTAAGCTCTTTGTACCCCACAGCTTTGATGATCTCTTGAATTTGCTTAATCTAGAATCTGGAAACTGGACTTCTGGAAATCAACAGAAATTGAATACATCACAATCATCCACTACATTGTCAGTACGCAAGGCATATGTCACATGACTAAAGTTTAAAATGTACTTGTACAGTCCACATCGAATTCGAATACAACTTAACTTATTCAAGACTGACTTTTAGTTTGCTATTATATCCGGTGATTATCTAAATTAGTCAACATGTTTTTGCATATTTTTTTCGAGAAATAGGCATTTAATCTTCTGCAATCATTTACTAGAATGGAAATATCTAGGAATATAATATGTAGAAGTCCATCTGGTTCATAAAATATTCACCACACACCTTAGCTGATAGTAATAATAATATTTATTAACTACTTCAGGGTTCTTCTTCCCGAATTTCACTGAAAATTTGGTATACACTGTTTTTCTAATTTTTATCCATATTAGACATGTTTGGGGAATATTTAAAATATGTTATGCTCACGTCACATACTTATTCACTGCACCAACTAATTTGAAACTGTCTTATAAATGGGTAAAAAACTGGGCTATACGTTGGTTAGCATTCAAAAGAACTCTTTTATCATAACTTCTTGAACAGTCGTCAATTTTAATTTGAGAAAATGTTGGAGAATTGAACGGAACTGAATTATTAGTTTTCATTTGCAACATCACAGTTAAATCAGATTATAATGAGTATTCAAGTTTTCTTCAGAAAAAAGAATATAACTACAATAAAAACTCTTTATAAAGATTTTAGAGCATACATAGAAGTGTATGATGGAATTGATCAATACTTGATAAAAATTCATAACTCATTCAACTGATGATTTGTTGTGAGATTTCAACTAGAAAGCTTGCAAAACTGCAACACGAGTTTCGTTATACAATAATAGCTTTATCAGTCTATACAAGTATGAGTATGAAAACGCTTGGTAAAGCTATTGTATAGCGAAACACGTGTTACAGTTTTACAAGCTTTTCAGTGTAAATCTCACAAAGTGTTACTTGAATAATACGTAAGAATTCCTTTCAGATACAACTAATTTTTACTGGAAATATTCCCCTTTCAAGTCATAAAATTTGTTGTGTTCAACAATTGTGAAAAAACTACCAATGTTTCTGTTTCACTTTAATTAACATACCCTTTTGTTATATTTCATAGGTCAAATCAAACGATAAGGCCCAGTGTGTTGGACCTAGATACTGATCTCCACAAAACTGTTATCGATGTAGCTGAAAATGCAAACCCTTGGAATATATTCCTTGAACTTCTACCGCCAGATTCAGGACAAACTGCACTTCCAACTTTTGACAAGGAAACAGACGTACTGTTATTTTTCAAAATGTACGACCCCAAGCAGAAGAAAATTCATTATTGTGGCCACAGCTATTTGCCCGTCACTAGTAAACTAGCTGATATTATCCCTCTACTGAACGAAAGGGCTGGGTTTCCGCCCGACACGGATTTGCTGCTCTACGAGGAGATACGCCCGAATATGATAGAAAAAATAACAAATTTCAATGATCCTCTTGAAAAGGTTTGTGTCAAAACACCACTATCCAAACACAAACACAAAAAATCTTTTTTCAATGATCATCTTGATAAGGTTTGTGACCTAACAACACTATTGATATAAACAGTTTTCGAATATCTTTCAATGATATTTAAAATTTCAGGTACTGGAAGAATTAATGGACGGTGATATTATAGTGTTTGAAAAGGAGGAGCGGGAAGAACTTTCAGATCTTCCTACTTGTATAGACTATTTCAAAGATTTGTTTTATCGTGTTGAAGTGACATTTGTTGACAAGTGCATACCAAATGACCCAGGTTTCACCATGGAGCTGTCGCAGAGGATGACATATGATCAGTTTGCCAGGGCGGTTGCTCAAAGGGTCGGGACGGATCCTTATTTGTTACAGTTTTTCAAATGCCAGAGGTATGTTTGACAGCTTAACTTCAATTTTACATTTACTTGATGTAATTTTGATGTTGTTGATTGTTACAGGTTAGGACTTCCATTGTTAAAAAAAAGTGTTAACAGATTTGAAATCATGGAATAAAAAATAGAGCTGAAATGAATGGAATATTGAAGCAATTGAAAACGCTAAAAATAACCAGACCTTCATTCCAATTTTATTTTTTCTTCCATAGATTCCAAATCTGTTTTATAACAATGAAGTCCAAACCTGTAATAGTCACGAAGAAACATTATAAACCAAGTTTGAACAAAGGTTTGATATTGTTATTAGTTTTGTTTCCTTGTAAAAGAGCATAGTCTACATGATTTTTCACTGATCCGGCATTATTGGCCGATAGATTTCTGCCATTGATCGTTTTCACCCAGGCAAACTAATTTTACCTGGTATTTTCAGTCCAGTCAACTCACATTTTCATCCTTGTTATTCAGTCTCAATAAACTCGTTAACACACTGAAAAATTATATTGTTGACAATGGTCATGTAAGTTGCTATTTTGGGTGTGTCTAAGCAACCGGTCAATTTCTGAAAGCAAACACAAAATAACATCAGTAAAATGGAAGATAAATTATTGCAGCCATTATGGAAGCAAAAACTTGCGCCACTGCAGAAAATCTTCAACATTTCTATCCTGTTGATTGAGAAATTGCAGATGATAGATGATGTGTTACTATCCCTCAAATAGTAACGNAGATAGTCCGGGTCACCCGTTAAGGTGCACCTTCGAGGGTACCCTAAAAGACTTGTTAGTATTTTCAAAGCCAAAAGTTCCCAAGAAGATATTTTACCAGCAGCTTAGTATTCGTGTTAATGAATTAGAAAATAAGAAACAATTCAAATGCATCTACGTGGGTCCTAAAATGAAAGAAGAAAAGGAATTGGTGCTATATCCGAATAAAGGGGGGACGGTGGCAGACTTGTTGGAGGAAGCTAAGAAACAAATTGAGTTTGGAGAAGGCAGCACAGGAAGACTAAGGTGAGTCGCTTTGTATACACTTTGCAAGCGTAAATGTTTTCAGGTTAATTATTTTTTTTTAACGGCCGACTTTGCAACTGTGTTAATATTTTGTTCTAAATATCTTGGAAAGTTTGACATTCCTCTAGTCTAATGCAAGTGTAATGGCTTTTTACTGTTCATATTTTGGTATGTAATGTTATTTATATGGAAGTTTCAACTATCTTTCAAATTACATACTAAACCACTCTGCAATGTTGCAAAATTTCGAAAGTTTCCTTAAATAAAACTTGGAAAGTTTTCCTTGTATATACTTTCAAGGGGTATGGTATATTTTGAAAAATTCGGTGATCTCAATGTTCACATTTTCCACAATTCAAGTTTTTTTTTTATTTATTTATTTATTTAACAAATAGGGATACCAACAGAATAAATCCAAAAAATATCCTCATTTTACATATGAAAGATAGTGAGTAAACAAAATACAGGGTGTAACTAAATAAGNCGCGATGTAGAGGACTTGAGAAACCGCATCATCAATGCGTGCAGGGTAATCAGAGAGACTCCAGGAATATTTGAGCGAATACGTGGCTCAATGCGCCGACGTCTAGACGCATGCGCAATGTCTGAAGGTAGACATATTGAACATTTACAAAAGATGCAAATGTGCGTGGTGATCATGTTTTGATCACGCATCTTATCTTTGTTTGGTTGTACTTTTTTGCAGTTGATCATACTTTTTCACGAGCACCTAATATACTTATAACTCTTGAAGGAAAGGCAGTTGCAACACAATGATGTAATGCAATTGAAATTTGTTTTAGTGCTGTAGAATTTTCGATAAAAATAAATTTGAATACAGTATCATATGAAAGATTGGAAATATGTCGCATCTTTAAAGACAATATGCCATAATTAATGACCACATGACACTAAAGAGTGACATCAAGCTAGAGTGATAACAAAGTCTTGAAGAATCGGTAGACAGAAATAGTTGACTCAGGAATTATGAACAATGAAAAAGCTGATGAGTGTGGTAGACCCAGATCAACAGCTTTATTAATGGACCCAGAACCACTTGTGCAGAGTACCAAAATCATTAGTATGGAATCAGAGCACGGAAAAAGGTCCTGACTGAGAAGAAAATATAAAAAACTGCTTCACCAGATCAGAGATCGCCTCGGAATCATTACAGGGCAACTTACTGAAACGCTGTCCATTCAGAAATATCCTGAACAAAGGAAGACTGTATAACACAGACCTTTGCCGAAAACAATGTAGAAAAGGAACAAAAGCAGTCCATTATGACTAATGCGAATGTGAGGCATTGGATCACAGAAGGTAAGCAGTTTCATAGATAACTGAGACTTGGTCGAGAAAAATATGATAATCCAATAAAGGATATATACGAAGTTGTTAAAATGCGTAACATAAAAAGTTGGGAGAAAATGGAAAATTCAAAAGTCGGCCTAGCAGCAAAAAATACAGTATCACCACCCCCTTCACATGATCACTATTATCATTACTTTTCAAATAGCTTTTGAGAGATAAGAGGTACAAGATTCAATTTTTGTGGTATACTACACAAGATTCAGTTTTTTGTCTTTCCTTCTTTCAGTTGTATTGTTATTATTTTCAGGTTAACAGAAATAAATGGCAACAAAGTGTCGATGGGGCCGAAAGATGACACGCCACTGGAATCATTAGTAGTAGCGGCGACAAAAATGTATAGGGTCGAAGAGATACCGAGGGATGAATTGCAGGTCGCCGACGATGAGATGCTTGTTCCTTGTGCTCACTTCCACAAAGAAGTTTTCTCGACGTTTGGTATACCTTTCCTCGTGAAGCTCAAACAAGGAGAACCGTTTCTCAAAGTTAAAGGTATGGCAAAAATATTATGAGCGAAAATGTTCAGTCATTTTTTGTGGGTGATATCCAGTTATTTATATATTTTTTTCTTTCAGAACGAATCCAGAAAAAGCTGGCTGTGCCAGAAAAAGAATGGGAGAAGTTCAAGTTTGTAATTGTTTCAATGGGTCGACCCCAAATCATCCAAGAGGAAGATTATTTTGTGAATTTAGCTGATTTTAGGGTTCCTCCTAGTCAAGGTAAGTTTATATGATACTTTTGAATAGACATATTTTTGATTACGTATCATTCTACTTTATGGAAAAAAAATTAGCTTGAGTTTGACTGCTAGCTGTTAAAAATTAAGCACTTCAAGCAAAAATTGAATACACTTTTAGCATACAATACTTTTTTAATTTGCGTGTATTTCATTGTTCATATGAAAGTATTTGTTTCGAAATGTTTTTTTTTCTTTCAGTTTGTATCTGAAATGATGTGAAAGTTGTTATATTTTTTGTATATGCGAGATGTTTGAGAAATACTACCAGATCTTTTAATATTCATGGGGTTGGTTGTTTAGCGTGATTGGTTAATTCTACACATTCCTTAGGCCAATTTAGAAAAGTCTGGGAACAAACATTTAGTCCAGGAAGTACCTGATAGGAATCTGACTTATATGCTTCAGATAGTAGATTTGTGAGTAATTAAAAAGCATGAAACATGCAAATTATAAATATACAACAGTAATGAAAGGTAAAACTGGCATAGACTAAAACCAAAACAGGTGCTTTTCCCAGTCACCAGAAATGCAATATTCTTCTTGACGTGGGGTTTCACCAACCATGTAAGCATCTTCAGAAGAAAAGTATTGCATTTCTGGTGACTCGGAAAGAGTGCTTGTTTTGGATGTGTAAACTGGTTTTATTTCTACACCTACATCTCTGTGTCTACAGTACAGGAAAAGCTATCAGATGTCTGACAGGGTAATGGAACTCTCATTTTCCAATTTTACATGTATCTACCACTGATTTATAAACTCACAATAAAAAGTTAATTTATATCAATACACCATGCTTAGGTACTGTGGTTCACAGACATCTTTGTCATATACCTGTACCTCTCTACATATTTATGCCTACAAGTTGAGGTATGGTGAATGCTTTGTCAATAATGATACTAAAGGTCTTCCAGAAATAGTACATATATAAATTGAAAATTGAGCAACATCGTCAGAGATATTTTCTGGGTTCATTGGCAGTGGTCTGAAGGTTTCATGCATGACGTTTCATCTATTACTGTGGTAAATATCAAAGGCCATGAGACAACAAAATGCTTCAGTTGTCACGACAGTAGATACTAGAGTATTGGTTTGGATCTCCGGATTTATTACAGTAGTGATGGGCAAGGCTTCGTTCCTATCAGTTGAATTGAACGGCCTGATAAATATGTGGGAAATAGGTTTTTGGACTTGATAAATTTATCGGTAACCACTGGAACATTTCCTGACGGTTGGAAAATTGCCACCATCGTTCCTATTGAAAAAATCACAAACACCCTTTCAGGATCTGATTTTAGACCCATAAATACCCTGCCAATTTATGAGAAAATGTTAGAAATTGCAGCGAAAGAACAATTGATGAAATTTATAGTGAAACATAATATTTTGATTAATGAACAATCTGGATTTAGGGAATCCCATTCATGTGAGACTGCACTGCAATTTCTAATCTCTTCGTAGAAAGTTGAGCTATCTAAAAGACGTATTATAGGTGTTGTCTTTCTGGATTTCAAAAGGGCATTCGGGACGATCAACATTGAGTTATTTTTAATGAAATCAAATAAGTATGGACTAGATTATAAAGTATTAAATTGGTTCACAAATTACCTCACATATCGGAAGCAGCTAGTTAAATATAATCAAGTGACATCCAGTACTTTAAATGTAATTACAGGAGTCCCTCAAGGGTCAGTGTTGGGTCCACTGCTATTCTTGCTGTACATAAATGATATTGTGATACATGTTAAAAGGTGTAAGATAAAACTGTTTGCCGACGACACTATGTTGTAAAAAATTGAGTATTTTAGAGGAGTTAATCCTTGATATTAAAATTTGTATATTTGTTTGGAATTGTATCTTGCATATATGGGAGTTTCAATAATGAGGTTCATAATAATAATAATGTTGAAACTTATACAGTTTGTTTTTCAATAAAATTCGATAATCTATGATGATTTTTGGTGAATACAGTAATACATCTTATTTCAGCAGGTAGCCCTAAGCCTTGGTTAGGATTAGACCACATGAATAAAGCGCCAAAGAGGTCGCGGTTCAACTACCTTGAAAAAGCCATCAAAATCTACAACTGAGACTGATGACATCTTAGATTCCCTCGGAAGGACGTTTGTACACCGCATCGAGGCTAAGGTACAACACTCGAAAGTACATCTTTGTTATAATATTTTAAGGTGTGAGCGCTGCTTGTCATTCAGATTTTCCAAATAATCATTTATAATGGCAATTATCCTGCTGTATAACACTTGTACATATTATTTAATTGACAAAATATCTGTTTAGGGTGTATTCACGAAATGTTAATTCTTATGTTGTACAGGGTTATTCAGAATTGTGGTTGGATTAATTGAAACCAGTGTGAATTATTTTCAATTAGATGTCCTTTGTATTGTGGAGAATTATAATTTTCGATTGATTTTCTAACAGACTCTGAATAACCAGGTATTATTTTTTCAGATTGTAATAATTTGTTCACCGGCGTTTCCAATGATTTCGGCAAACTTAGCAAAATATATGTACAATCATACCCACTGTCCCCTCTGGTGTTTTAGTGATTTTTATTTTATTTATGTTAAAAAATGTAGACTCACCTGTTTGTTTTTTATACTTCTTGTGAAAACTAACAATATAAATTATTGAATAAAATATACCTAGGTTTTTCGAGATTTTACAAATTTTATTTTTTTTTTGTCGCAGATATTGAAGATTTTTTGCTTGTACAAAATTTTGTATCAAATAATGAAGATTGTATTTATTGCCACTCTGTATATTTCGTAATTTCATTGAAGATATTGCTTAGCAGTTGAAGTATTGCAATAAAATATAAAAGATATATTCTGGCGTTTTCTTGTTGACATTGTTTAAGCAGCTGAACATACACCACTGATTATATAATAAAAGTTTATGTTGACTAGTGCTTTTTTATTTTCCTTTTAGTATTATCAACAATTCCGTATTTCATTTTAGAATAGCTGTGAGCAGGGCCATAGCGAAAAGAAAAACAAGGGGGGGAGGAAATCCAAATTTTCCCAACTTTAAAAAAAGAAAAGAAAGCCAAGGAATTAGTTACTACTACAATATATTAATTTTCTTACTAAGCTATCCAAAGATTGGCCGAATGCTTATGCTCGTTAGGGTATGCACAAACAAAAATAAATTTCGGTAATTATGAAAATAATAATGGGAATTATTCTACTTTGGACCAAGGTCATTGGTCATCCGCCATGTATAGGAAAATTTAATACAAATGAAAGGAAACAACACTTGAATAATTATATGCTTATGATGCACTGTTTGGAACCTTTGGCGTAGTAATGAACATTACTGGAGTTTTTTCCCAACACCAAATCGTTGTTTTTAACACCTCGACACGTGTTTCGATCACCAAGTGATCTTCTTCAAAAGGAAGAATAATCTTCAGGACTGTTCTCTTGCTTGGGATAAATTAAACTTTTTTTAAAGTTTTCAAACAACTCAGAAATTTGATGAAGTAAAATAAAATGAAACTAATGATATGACTTCATTTTTCAATAGTTTAGTTCTCCTTTCATTGAAGTAATGGTAATTTCTTCTGAAGTGTTTGCCTCAGATTTTGGCAAATAATCCAGTTGAAAATATGTCTTATAATAAAGTTATGATGTAATAAAAAATCTCGGAATGNGCAAAAAGGAATGAAGATGTGCAAAAAGGAAGGATTTTTAAATATTCCATCCCCCCTGGGGATAAATGGGGCGCGTTTACATAGGAAAATTAACTTTCAATCACTGTTTCTATGTACCGCTATATTTTCGGAGGCTGAAATTTTGTATATAGATTCGTTTTATGCCGTAGATGTGGAATAAAAAAGGATTTTTAAGTATTCTAACTGGGGCGCCAGCCGCGGGGGATAAAGCGCGTTCATAAAATAAACTTGGCACTTCATCACTGTTTTTCCGTACCGTTATATTTTCTGAGGCTGAAATCTTGTATGTAGGTTCGTTTTATAGTGTAGATGTGTAATAAGAAAGAATTTTTATTAAATATTCCAACTGGGGTGCTAGCTGCGGGGAAAAAAGGCGCGTCCATAAAACACAATTATCTTTTCATCACTGTTTCTCCACACTGATAAGCGAAGATTTAGATTATAAATAACTGATTACATCGACAATGTTTATATCAAATACTTTAAAATATTTGATGACCCCCTGTAAATAATAACATTTCTTGTTTTTACAACAGTTTTTTATTTATCTTTTCATTGAATGGATAAACTGACGTTTTGAATGTTCTTATCAAAAGGTCAGCGACGTATGATTTTTGGTTTGATTCCACCGATTTCGAAAACTTGAAGACACCGTATTTGAATGTACACGTGACATCATGTTTTCGCGCCTCATTTTCAAGTATAACAACTTTTCCTCAGGTCAGGTAAGCGTTTATTTTTGCCCTTTAATAGATTAATATGTGGGGATAATTGAGTATTGAAAAGTGAAAGTGTAATGCAGTACATCAAACCACACATTTTTGTACCGAGGTTGGCCAATGCTTCACATTTATTTTACTGATTATTCTGACCTCGTTGTTTTTGTAATAGTTTGAGGTTATCAGTTATTCTGAACCGCGTGTATCCAACATAAGTTTTAAATTGAAATATATATTTATATTAGTATAAAAGCATCCATCTCAAGCTTTGTTGGCATTTATAAATCTAATTCGAATAGTAGAAGGTTTCAAAGGTTAGTATCATAACCTATAAATTAAGTAGAGGTTCTCTCTGAAAACTATGAATATTTTTATTGGATTTATTCGTTTACAGATAAGGACATTAATCACATCTCAACGAGCAAAGATGAGCAAAGAGTGTAGTGACATTTCAAAAACACTGAATGCAAATCTTTGGGACTCTGATCCGGAATTATGGGAAATCATAAAGAAAGAAAAAAAGAGGCAGCTGAGAGGTTTGGAAATGATTGCTTCAGAAAATTTCACCACTCTACCTGTATTACAATGTCTTAGCTCATGTTTGAGTAACAAATATTCGGAAGGAATGCCTGGTCAAAGGTTAGTTTAAATAGGAATATATACATATAAAAAGAAAATAGAGGGAATAATTATATAATTTAAAGGGGATACTTACATACATTAATTTTTCAATAGAGAAAACTAGTATTTAACAACCATATTATATAATTTCTATGACTGCAATACAAGACAGCAAACAATGACTTATACACAAAATTCAATAGCAAGAAGTTATTTAATCACCTTCCTATTATTTCAAGGTTAATACATAACAAAAAGAAAGAATTTCAGAAAGAAAGTAAAAGAATACTTTTTTGGTAAGCCCTATTATAGTGTGGACGAATTCTACCTAGGCTCTATTGAGTAATTGGCACATAGCTTGGTGTAAACAAGCTATTGAAATCAACACGAAACAGCTATCAATGTTCACCACTTAGCATAATATATTTATATTTACTCAATAATCATGTACTTATATTTGTATCTGTTCAGCTGGGCTTAATATTGTTCTGTCCATATACACTTTTATTGTCTCTAAGCATTATTTTATAGCTTGTATTTGTTCCATATGTTCCATATACACGTTTTACTTTACTAGACTTTACCAATAAGGTGTTTAAATGTTGGGTAATAAAGCATATTTTGATTTGATTTATTCAACCATTTATTTGAATTTGTATTTGTTGAATAAATAACTTTTTTTTCTGATTCTAAACTATACTTGAACTATTAAATGATTATGAATCATTTCAGGTATTATGGAGGTAACCAATTCATAGATCAAATAGAATTCCTCGCTCAAAAAAGATCCTTAGAGGCTTACAATTTGAATCCAGAAGAATGGGGGGTCAATGTTCAGCCATATTCCGGTTCCCCCGCGAATTTTGCTGTTTATACAGGTAACTAAACTATACCAGATCCTGAAATGCTTTCTGATATATGTAACATTTTATTTTTTCAGGGGTTGTGGAACCACACGGCCGTATAATGGGTCTCGATTTACCTGATGGTGGACATTTAACTCACGGTTTCTTCACGCAAACTAAAAAAATATCAGCAACATCAATGTTTTTTGAATCCATGCCATATAGGGTATTTTCCATAGATATTTCAAGAAGAAGACATATTTTTACAATGTGTGATTTTTTTAGGTTAATCCAGAAACTGGTTTAATCGATTATGATAAAATTCTGGAGACTGCAAAGTTATTCAGGCCTAAATTAATAATTGCCGGTGTAACTTGTTATTCCAGAGCACTAGATTACAAAAGATTCCGTCAAATTTGTGACGAAGTAGGAGCTTATTTAATGGCTGATATGGCACACATTTCAGGATTAGTGGCGGCAGGTATGATGAGTTGATAATATTTTTTAAATAATGGATCAATTGATATTTCTTCATTTCAGGTGTGACACCAAGTCCTTTCGAATATAGTGATATTGTAACTACTACAACACACAAGAGTTTAAGAGGACCAAGAGCCGGTATTATATTTTTCAGAAAAGGTGTGAGGTCTGTGAATGGCAAAGGTGAAAAAATTCTATATGACCTTGAAAGTAGGATCAACCAAGCAGTTTTTCCTGGATTACAAGGTATTCTGATTGACTGTGAAAAAAATTAAAACAACAGGTTGATTTTGTCCAATTTCACACAGTATATAATATAATCATTTTTGTATCTTCATTTTCCACAAGAATATCTCTTGTTACCTTTTTTGAATTCACCATTTTTGGCATTGAAAGCAATGATTAAGGTCAGAACTTCACAGTATTGCTATAAATAGAATGTACAAGTGTGAATCATCAAAACCATAAGCAAATAACAATTGAGCATTTCCAGAAAAATCCTGCTTTTGTTCTCCTTATAGTTATCAAGGGTATTTCACTTCAATATAAACAAGTAAACTTGATCTGACTGGGGGGATTTCAATTATTTCATCATTTGTTTTTGTTTCATCACATGTGATGACGTCTTATCATTTCAAAAGTCTATTGCAATTTCAATAATATAATTTTAAGTATCACTTATCTATCATATATTATTACCCAACTCTTTTTTTATATGGCTTGGGAAATATTCTGAAGTTTGTATTTTATTATGAAATACTTAATAAATCTGTACTTTTCATTAATACAATTTTTGAATTTACACTTTGTTGTACAATTGTCTTGAAAACAATCATTATTTACTGAGGAAAATATCCCTGTTAATCAACAATTTGTTATCCAAAACGAACACCAAACAACACAACTGCAAAACTTTTCTTGACAAACATTTCACCCAGCTTACGTCTACTATTTCAGAAGTTATGTCTGAGGTTTGGATGAAGATTTGTTCAGTCTGAGAAAGTTTTATTGAGGCAGATTCAAGTAATTTACTACATGGTTATGGAATTTTCAATAAGGACTTCATTAGTAACGAAATGAGAAAAGTCCAAAGTCTATAGTTGAGTTTGACAAACAATTGTAAATATAAATATTGACTTTTTCTTCACTTTTTCATTTTTGGTAACAATTAAAATTTGTTTTGGTACACTTATTGTTGTTGAATACGCACATCAGTAAAAGTCTTAAGGATAGTTTACTTGTCTCTGGTAGTATCAATATTAGATTATGGCTCAATGATACGGTCTCCATTTTATGACAATCACAATCTTACTCTTGAAAGAGTTCAAAACAAATTCCTAAGATTTTGTGCTCTTAGAATGAGTATACCTGTTATTGACCATGATAATAGCAACATTTTAGAAATCCTTAATCTCAATCTGTTGATAAAAAGGAGGGAAAACTTTGATCTAATTTTCATATACAAGTTACTGAATGGCTTAATTGTTGCTCCTGAAATTCTAGAAAATATTAATTTCAATGTCCCAAACAGAATTCTAAGGTCCAGCGACTTGTTTCACTACTGTTTCATTCTACAAATTATGGCTTACCTAACCCTGTTGATCGTACACTTCGACTTATTAATGAAAGAAAATTGGAAGCAAATCAAATCAGCAAATTCAAAAACAATCTCTTAACTGCATGGTAGTATTATGATATGTATTTTATAATAACTTAAGTTAATGTAATGTAGTATATTACTTTATTATGTAATTGTTAATTTTATTCTCAAATGGGGGTGATCGCGTAAAATAAATAAATAAATACTGTTTATTGTATAAGTTTGAGGATGTCCATATAGGACGAAACTGCAGTAACGTTAGTTACAAATAAAAATTGTAAAAAACATCGAAATTTTCATTTCTCTTTTCATTACAAAATATTCATTTATTCAACAAAAAGAGAAGACAATTTAGAATTGATTCTGATAACAATATCAATCAATTGTGGTAATGTGATCAATATAACATAATTTGATGGTCATGTTTCATCCTCTTTAATTGACAATACTTACGACTGTGTTTTCTTTAGTTTTGTTGCGTGATAATGGTAGTAAATTGAGATTCTCGTTAGAGTTTTGAACTTATTACAAAAAAAAATTTATCAACAACATTCATGAACATTATTTTCCGATTTCTCATTATTTTCCGATTTCTCATAAATATTCCATAGAAAAAATTCGTGTTCAATTTACATGTCATATTTTGTCAAAAGTTGTGTCATAAGCTATATAAATAAATATTTTTATCTGGGATTTCTGAAGTTTTATAGTACGATTAGTACAGTAATAAATCTAAAAATATCAATACAAATAGAAATTCTTTTGCAGGTGGTCCTCACGAAAATGCCATTGCTGCAATTGCAACAGCAATGAAACAAACGAAATCCCCTGATTTTGTAACATATGCAAAACAAATTGTTGCCAACGCGAAAAGATTGTGTGATGGTCTTCAGTCAAAAGGCTACAAAATTGTGACAGGCGGAACCGAAGTGCACATGTTGCTTATGGATCTTCGGCCTAAAGGTATATCAGGTGCTAAAGCGGAATATATTTTAGAAGAAGTGTCCATCGCATGTAACAAAAACACTGTTCCTGGAGATAAAAGTGCGTTGAATCCATCGGGGTTGCGAATAGGTAAGATTTTATTGATTCTTTAATTCATGAAAACAACCAAAGGAGTTTCAATATTTTCAATTTTTTATGAAAAGAAAGAAAATTTCTACTTCACAAAGTCTACCATTCACTTTTTTGCTCTTTGAGAGCCATCCAACTCGTCAATTTCTTTTGAGTATCCAGAAAACAGCATTACGTTACATTTTCTCCTATCATCTTTCCATGACATCCATTCTAAGCATTGTGTTTACTGTACTAGTTTGTACGTATCCTTTGTTGGATTTTTGTCATAGTATTTTCTATTGGTAAAACTAATGTTGCCCTCGAATCACACTGAAACTAGTAATTTGATACAATTTTAGAGAAAGTTAAAGTTGATGATGATGATCCGTTTCCATTTTACTTTCTGTCATAGTAAATTCATTTTTTCAAAAGAATGGTGTGTACTTGATATGTAGAAAAATATTTTTTGTTCTTTGTTTGGTTCATTTACATAATTTGTAAAATTCCAACTGTTATTGATTTGTGCTCAACTCATCTTAATGGTCACTAAAATTGCGAGTTGAAGAAACCTTCAATTTTTTTCATAGGTTGCAATTTATTTTTGATTGGAGAACCTTGAAACCAAATTTTTCAACAATATTACTGATTTTGTGAAGACTTCAAGCAATTGTGAAATTAAAATTATTGGAATCATATCTTTTAGAAAATTGTTTTAAAATTCTATCAGCATTTTTTAAGAATCCACAAGTCGGCTTCTTTTTCTTTGCTATACTTTATGTTTTGTATATACAATTATTACACGTCTGAAGACTGTATCGAGGATCTTTCCTGCACTGATGAGAGGTAATACCTTGACACCGATCTGTAGGTGATCTCGAATAATTTCAGCATAGTCCTGTTTCTGGATGAACAAGAAATATCTGCAAGACTAACCTCTGTGGGGTATCTTTCATAAATGTCTTCGGATATAATTCAATAACCAGCATGGTATTAGTCGGGAAAGAAGTTGTTTTCCGGCAGGCATTTACCAGAACCTACTGTGTATGTATGTTGGGAAAGATGATTATTTTGAGATTTTACTTTGAAATATTTATTTTCTAATAATTAAAACGCAACTTTCAATTAAAACAACGATAAAAATAAAATAAAAACAACAATAAAAATTAATTGGCGCTCCGGGGCGACTTCATTATTATCAATAATTTAATTTTACTAAGTAGAACGTTGTTTCAAAAATAAAACAGTATACTGTACACACTTTTCATTCTGCAGTTTCATAATTACAAGCTTTTGCAAACATTTGAGAGTAAAGCATCAGTTTTAACAATATTTCCAAGATAGTTCTCGAAAGCTTGTCCAGAGCATTATTAGATCTGTTCTGTTTAAAAATCTGTTGTTTCGTTAACCAGCTGTCGCACCCCTACGAGCAACAACCATCAGAAGTAGAAACTTGTGCGAGCTAAGGATTTACGAGGTCTTACCTTTTAACGTGTGATTCTTAGTCTTTAGATTTTTTCAGAACGATTCCACGTTCTTTTTACAAATATACTTTGATATTTAATAACGGTGAAATTAGTATGAATATTTGTTTTGAACAGGAACTCCTGCATTAACAACCCGCGGTTTCAAAGAAGAAAACATCGATGACGTAGTGAACTTCATAGACTGTGCCTTACAATTAGGAATAGAAATAGCAAAGACCTCTGGACCAAAGCTTGTGGACTTCAAAAAGGCAGTTCATGAACACTTTTCATCAGAAGTTACAGCCCTTCGAAATGAAGTTGAGAAGTATAGCGAGCAATTTCCTCTTCCTGGATATCCAGAATATTAGATCATACCACTACTATTTAATTTTTCATTTTGTATTGTTATTAAACATAATTTTTTTAAATGAAAAAGTTCTGCATGGAAGAATTGAACTGACTGAATATCTGGCACCAAAATATTTTTTTAAGATAAAAACGAGTTTTTTGAAGCGCAAAATTGTTGAGGATAAATTTATATTGTGATAAGTAATGTTGAAGATATTTCGGTTATTTTATTTGATATAACATTCAATTTCGAATTTTTTATCAGACTTATTCTGGAAAGTATAGTTTAGAAAGAAATGGGTGCCTAATGTTCATGATCGAAACATTAAATGTACTAATAAGGCTTTTATGTTATCACACTTTTTTAAATAAAAGGTAGTTTTATTGCCAATTGGATAAGTCTTTCTGTATTTTTTATTGTTGACTTTTCAGCGATTCCCAGTTTTTTAAAAACTACATTTGTACTTCATCATTGGAATGTTAAGGCATTTGAAGTGAGAATATTTTTTTATGTGTATAGAGAACAACCGTTCCCAGTTTGGTTTCCAGCATAAGGGCGAAAACATTTTTGAGACTGCTTCTTCGATTGAATATGTTAATTTTCAACAAATGTCCTTAAAGTAAAAACTCTTATTCACAAATCCCTCAAGTAATAACTGTGAAGGGCTCCAAGAAGCAATTAAAGCCAGATTATTCAAACTTTCGTGTCTTCATTTGTAAAAACGGATTTCAGAAAAAAATTGTTAGTCAACAACCAACTAACTTTCTTTGAAGTGTTCAGAAAACATGATTTATACAAATTTTGAAATTGTTCAATATTTGTGATGGAATCGGTCAATACTTGATGAAAATCCAGTTTTACAAAAATGCAACTTGTGTTTTGCTTAATAATAGCGCCTGAAGAAGCTAGTGTATAGCGGCGAAACACATATTTCATTTTTGTAAAGTTTAGTCAAAATCTCACAGTGTTTCTTGAATTGTTCAATATTATAAACAAATATTTCATACATCTGTCTTTAATGGTGGCGAGTCCATGTTGTAACGGGCACAAGCAGCCCTATTTTCAGCCATAAATTAAAATTATTATTAATGGAGGAAGTTTTAGGAGTTGGCACTTTGTTTATTTTAAATTTCCGCCTCTTTCAGAATCTCTTAATTTTTTTCAAGTATCGAGAAATTGACTGTCGTTCATTGTTGAGACTTCCAAGATATAACCTTCTTTCTCGCAATCAAAAATTTTTTAATCCCAATGATCAATTGAAGTAACTGGTCAAAATATGAATAATAATTCTTAATTAATATAAATTTATTCAAATCAATACAGAATACTTGAATATGAGCCCTGAATCCCAATATGTTCGATTATATATACAAAAATGCAAGTATTTTATACATAAACATCCATATCAAAACGATGTTAGAATAAAATTAGATGTCTTTACAAAATATATATTCTACAAAATATTACGTATCAAAAGAGCAATTGGCTACAATATTAATTCTTGCATAGCATATGGTTATAAACGTACCCGATTAATTCAAAAATGATACATATAAAATACTAGTATACTCGACAGATAAAAAATACAATCGAAAGACAGTATAAATGTATAATAATCTGTATAAATAAAATGCATCATATCAATCAATCAAAACATAAAAGTTATTCAGTAAACTTTAAAAAGATAAGCACAATAATTCTTGAAATAATAATATTTCGTGTTTTCCAGAAAATAAAACTTCTATATTCCAATACACTAATATAAGATAAGTTATATAAATGCTTCTGGCCATATATAAAACTACTCAGTTAAAAGTTGATAAGCTATTTTCTGTTAAACACTTGCTAAGTACTAGACAAAATATATACAAGAAGCCATTTTATTTGCATGGAATTTTGTTGTGAAAGTCAATAGTATAAGGGCGATTATTATCATTAATATAAAATTAAATAATTGAATGGTTAAAAAAGCATCGACACCTAATTGGGAGCATCATCTCCGTCCATTGCTTCGTCTTGTGTGGTTGAATCATCCCCTGATCCATTGCCACTGGTTTGAATTGACCCACGTTTCGAAGAACTTAACCGAGACGATGATGAAATACCCATTGTACCTCTTCTAGAAAAAAAGTGATAAAATTATTTTTTTCAAGTACTAAGTTGAGAAAAGTGATTTTTGATGAGAAGTTAACTTGATTTTAACCATAACTGTACTGGTAATATCAGTTCGTTTGCTTAATCTTGGAAGAACTTGCTTAGATTTAACACAGAAGTATCTTGCCATTTCATAAAATGATATCGTATCCAGTCTGATAAGTTTTATACACGTGTGTATGCATAATGCCTTGTATTACCTTTGATTGATGAATGAATTTTATTATTATTATATCAAAAGTTAAGGTTTGAAAGCCTTTTATGATAAATATTTTGAGATTATATTTGAAGGTCAATGTTTTCGAATAGTTGTTAGATTTGGGTGGGTTATAGNCATTTCTTTTGATAGTTTCAATTTTTTATAAATTATGTGTAAGTTTATTTCTCCTTACATAAAAATAGAGAAGCAGAAAGCTAATAAGTTTTTTCTAGCAATTTCTTGTTTTTCATGGTTTCAGATTATCTAAATGAAATATACTAATATAAAAACAAGTTACTTCTATATATTACAATGAAATAAATATAATAAGAAACTGACTAAAAAAATCAAAAAGCATAAACATTGGAAAGATCACCATGATTGATTCTGTAGGAGGTACTTATTTTTGATTTCCCTGAATGTTCTTATCGTTTTAACATTTCTGCTTTGAATAAAGATCTTAGAGTCATTGTTTGTGTTTAACTTTTTATAAAATGTGAATCTGGTGAAAGTACTGCATGAAAATTATCATATTAGTATTGAACTGATAAGGTTAATATGAATAAAACACTACAACTCAAACAAACTATTGTTATTTGTTATTTCATGTTATGTTATTTCAAAAAGGTTAAAATCAAACTTTGCACTCAATGAGCTAAAGCTGATAAAATATTAAACACTTCAACTCCAACAGGTTATTTCACACATTTTGAATATGTTATTTTCAAAAAGGTTAAAATAAAACTTTGCACTCATTTGAAATATCGACAGCGAGCTATAGCATAATTCAATTGGATTCCAGAGTGTCGGTGTGTCACATTTTGGGAAACAATACCCTCCCTAGAGTGATTCTACCCTGAAAGAATTCCAGATGATATTTATGAAGTTTAAAATGAAAAAAGAAATCCCAAGTTTGATTTTTTTGTATCCCAAAATTTTTTGAAACTGAATCGAAACATTATTAACTAACTATAGCACACAAAAAAGAAATCTTTTTAATGGTAGGCGTACAGGACTTCATCGAATTCAACTATATGCTATAAAATACAGGATGTGACACACAAACTGCGACACTCGAAAAATAAAAACTTTTTCCCATGCTAGAATTTTCAATAGTTCAAATTGTCGTAGACTGGCTGATACAAATTCAGTTATTATTGAAGATACGAAATCATTAAAATTGGCACACTAAAAGCTATCTTCATGATGCAAAAGAGAATCAACTACAGAAAAACGCATTTTTAAAACTCCATGCTTTTTTCAATACATTATTTTATTGTTTCTCATTTCATTCTTCAAATAAACTCAAAAAATGGAGAAGGAATTTGGTCATAAGACCATTAGATAGTCAGACCTTCCTATCCATTTATCATTTAACAATGACACCAGAAGCTACATTTATCTACAATTATGAACAGGTGCTGCAGAAAATATACAGTGTGTAATAACGAAAACTTAACAGAGCCGTTTTTTAATATAAAAATTAAGATTTTAAAAAAATGTCAGACACGTCGATTTCTTATTAAAGGGGGACACCTTTCAGACACATCAGATTTTTTGTAGTACGCACCCCCTCGGAGGGGTTCGTCCGACGACCCTTATTTAGATAGGGAACGTAGGTCGACTGGCACCTTGTTTTAAAGGTGTTTCGAATACCTTCACAACTCTGTTAAAAGAAAGTTTTTGTAAGGATTAGTTTTCGAGATAATTTGAAGTTAAAATTGCCATGTTAATAATACATTAGACAGACCACTTGGTAACTTGTATGCCTAAATAAAAAAAATTTCGAGCAGTTCTTCTCATCAGTTTTTTGTTAAATAAAATCCCTTTTTTAAAATCAATACCCACTCGTCTTCTTCCAGTTTTCATTAGTACATCGTTCAATTGTTTTGTTTAAACGGGTCGTGTATTGTTATTTGTTTAAAAATGCCTTACACTACTGCTGAAAGGGTTTCAGTTATTGCTTTATTTTTTGGCAAAGACCAAAATGCTAATAGAACATTAATTTTATTTAACGAGCAAAACCCTGGTAAACACCTAAGCAGAAATCACGTTCTGGATTTATTCACAAAATTCAGGGAGACAGGTTCGGTTTTAAATAAGAAAAGAAATTCTCAGAGAAGGGTAGTGGATGACGATAATGCGATGGAGTGATTGGTCAAGTCATCGCCAATCCCAGGTTAAGTACCAGAGGTTTATCAGCAATGGTCGGAATAAGCCATATGAGCCCATGGAGAATCCTAAAAAACCACAAATTCCATCCTTACAAAATTAAACTTGTTCATGAACTCAAGGAGGATGATTTTGACCGAAGACAGGAATTTTGTGAGGGCATGAGTGAGAGATTATTGCAAAATCCTGAGCTGCTTCTTAACATCTGTTTTTCGGAGGAAAGCTCATTTTATTTAAATGGTTGCGTGAACTGTCACAATTGCCGTTATTTGTCGGATGAAAACCCAAGACAATACGCAGAAATACATACTCAACATCCCCAAAAGTTGAATGTCTGAGCCGGAATATTAGGCAATCATATTATAGGTCCATTTTTCATTGATGGAAATTTAACCGGTGATTCTTAAAAAAATATATACAAGGTTTTCTATCAGATAAAAAGACATTCCAGTCAAAGTCAAAAATGTGTTCTCTGTAACTTGCATCTGGAAGAGTATAAAAAAAGGCTACATACCCGCCAACTGAAACAATTTCATATTCCCAATAATAAAAAAAGTTATTCATAGAGCACAACCATTTCAGATAAGCCTGTTTCTTATTGGTTCAAATGTAGGATATTGGAAAGTAGGGGTAAAAACACATCAACACTCACTTGATCTCGAATGAGACCCCCCACATTTTCTTAATTGTTTCAGGCAAGCTTGCTTGAAGTTGCTCATTTGTTGTGAAAGCGGGTAAGCTAGTTATCTGAGAAATGCTTGAATAAAAAATATATAGGGATGAATATATAAGTTAAAAAACTGAAAAAAAAGTTCTTGTACCAAATCACTCGAAACGAACATCGGAATAGAAGTTTGATTAATAATGCTAAATGAAAATATTCTAGAAAGCTCATTATTTCTGTAACTAATTGTGGAAATTTTTTAACGAACTCAACATTGATGAATATTCATTAAACAGGCAATATTAACTGAGCCTTTCGTTACATTCCTTTATCTAACACTATTTCACATTATCTATATTACAAGAAAAAACTACTTCTTGAGGAGATGCATCAAACATTCATAAATGAAACAATCCTCGTTGGCACATGTTTATTAACATAATTTTCAATTTAAAAAAATTGATCCATACTAAGCTATTGAGTGGAATGTGGGCGATATATACATTGCAGCCAAAAAAGCAGTTTGAAACATTTTGCAGCAGAACACTGTTTCAATCACATACCAAAATTTACTTCATCGATGCAGTAGAACTCGTATATTCATTTAAGGCTGTAAAGTAATTGTTTTGGTATAGAATATAAAATGAGGTTCACAAAGAGATCTAGCTTATAAAATGGGAAAGTTCAAAACCAATAAATTCCTGGCAAAAAGATCTCTTTAGATATAAGGATGACACAAAATAATTTTGTACGATATTGAATGATCCTGAATTTATAAGCAGGTAAAGAAGTTCAATAAAAATTTTAAAACTTTTCGTCCTCATAACTGACTATTCCAATTTTAGTTATCACCTTGGATAATATAGATCAAGAAAAGAAATTAAAGGTTTCAATTTTTCAAAAACAAATTTTCAAACATACTTCTTATGCTGGTCGCAACAATTAGGTTCTTGAGCTATCAAAAAAATTAATTCTTTACAAATCTGATCACTTCGAAGAAAATCATAAAACTGAATTTATTCAAACTTTCCCTACTTCCAAGTGAACAAATTTCCTTTAATTTATTTGGCATTCAATTCCCATGCCATATCCGATTATTCAATTTAATTTTGAACATTTTCAACAAAATTTAAATATAAGAATATTTCTGGAAAATAAGTAAAAGATTACCCATTTTTCTTTTTGTAAACCTTATAAAAACGTTGAATTGTGGAACTTTATTAAAGAAGAATCAAAGTTGCAGATATTTGAAATTATTGAACTTCTTGAACTCAAATACCAAAAACGTAATTTAACCAATTCTGACGCTAAGACTGGTAAAAAACTTCATCAATAAACTCATAGGCAACTTACCTCAATTTACTTTTCAAATTATTTATTTCCCTAGTCATGGACTCATGTGATTCTAGCATGTCCTCGCATTCCCTTTGAGCTTTGCGTTTTTGTGCCTTTTCTCTTGTTATTTCTTCTTCCGCTTCATCTAATTGACGCTTAAGAGCCTTTACCCTGGAGTTACCCTTCTCAACTTGTTCTTTGTATTGATCTGCGTGACGACGTTCATCCTCCAACTGCAAAAGCAACTCCTTCGATTTCTTGTCGAGTTTTCGGTTTGTTTTTTGTTGTGTTAGCCTTTCTTTAGCTTCAACCTGCAAGAAAAATAAAAATAAGTTACCTCGTGAGGGTCTACTAGCCCAACATTATTTACCTCAAGCTGTTCTTCCAAGTTTGCAATCTTACTTTCGAGAGCGGCGATGGTTGCTTTGGTCTTTGTCCTTTGAGCTGTTTCGAGCTCTGCAAGTTTAGCCTTGAGATCTTTATTTTGCCTTTCAAGTAACAATCTTTGTGATTCTTGTTTCTGGGCAGCGGATCTTTCATTAGATAGCTCTGTCGTCAACTGTTCGATAGTCAACTGAGCTTTCCTGGCTCTATCTTGTAATATTTCATTAGTGCTCTGTTCTTCCTCTATTTCCTCCTCTAGAGTGGCTATTCTCGCTTCTAACCTACGTTTTTCGTCGATAAGTAAACTGCTTTTGTTATTACTGCTATTGATTTCTTCTAATAGTTCGTCTCTTTCAGCTTCAGCTGCTCTTCTGGCTCTTTCTGAACTTGAAACGTCTTCTGTCAATTGAAGAACTTCGGCCTCCAAAGTTTTGACTTTTCTTTCAGCTTCTTTGCACGAAGCAGCATATTCATCTCTAGCAGCTCGGCATTCTTCAGAATCTCTAATGGCTTCCTTGCACTGCTGCTGAGACTTCTTCAGTTGCTTCAGAGCATCTTCCTTCACCTTGCAGTGGAGCTCAATCTGACTTTCAAGTTCCTTGATGTCACCTAGAATAAAAATTAGATATCATATAGGAACATACAAACTCTTAACCTACCTTCAAGCTTTTTTCGGGCACTAACTGCAGCTGTTCTTTGCTTCCTTTCTTCATCTAATTCAGCTTCTAGATCCCTCAGCTGTTTAACGATGCCTCTTCGCTTTTCCTCGGCTTGTTCTTCCTTAGCTTGGATGTCTCTTTCAAATTGCGCCCGAAGAGCTTGCATGTTGACTTCCAAACGTAGTTTAGCGTCTTCTGTGAGTTGAAGTTCATCTTCCAGTTCTTCATTCTGAGCTTTCAGCTCGGCTAATTGACTTTCTAAAGACCTCTTTGCTTTCTCCAGTTCATGAACGTTCTTATCCGCTGTACCTTGGTTGTTCACGAGCTCGTCTAGTTCTCCTTGCAGCTGTCTTCTTACTCTTTCCAGCTCTTCAATTTTACCGTTAGATTCGTCCAACTCTCGTTTCAAGGACAAGACCAGCGTCTCTTTATCTCTGGCTTCTTTTTCTACGGCGTCTTTCTCGGCAGCCAAATGTTCGCTAACAGCTTTTTCTTCAGCCAACACTTTGTCAAAGTTCTTCTGTTTCTTTTCAAGCTCAGAAACTTTTTGTCTCTGCGTCTCAAGGTCTATGTTAGCATCCTCGAGTTCGGCTGCGATCTTTTTCTTGCTTCTTTCTAGTTTGTCATTTGCGGCTGTCAATTCTTCAACTTGTCTCTGAAGAGCTTCCAAATCTTTGGCGAGCTTCTTCTTACTCTCTTCCAAAATGGCAGATTGTTCAGCCTCATCTTCGGCTTTTTTCTTTGCTTCAATCAGTTGAACACTCAACACAGAGAGCTGAAATATTAAAAATTGATTAAATGAATATCAATCAGAGAAATTAAAAAACTAACTTGTTTCTCGAGGTTTTTCTTGGCTTCTTCCTCTTCTTCTATTTGTTCTTGAAGGTTTTCTTTTTCGGACTCCAATTGTCTCAACTTCGAACTCAGAGCAAGTTTTTGTTTGGTTTCTTCCTCAAGCAGACCCTGAGCTTCAGCAAGCTGGGATTCTGTTGTGGCCTGGTTCTTCAGAGCCGCAGAAGCCCTAAAAAACAATTTATATATCTTTGAAGAAAAAAGTTCACTAAAGTGCATACTTAAGTTCTGCTTCTTCCAGCTGTTGCACAATATTTTCGACTTCTTGTTGTAATTTGATAGTTTTTTCCTGAAGTTCCTGGCGAGATCGTTCTACCTCTGTTAATTTCAAAGAAATTTCTGCTAGCTGACTTTCAGCTTGCTTACGACGTCTTTCACCTAAAAAAGGATTCAGATTTCACAATAATAATTTTAAAAAAACACTAGCTCACCTTCTTGTCTGCTAGCACCAACATTTCTCAATTCACTAGTGAGGTCAGCATTTTCTGCCTCAAGAGACTGTTTACTCTTTTCAAGATTAGCTTTCAGTTTTTTAATGTTTTCTAGCTGTTCACTCAATGCAGCAAGTTCCTGGGAGTGTTTGTGTCTCGTTTCAGCTTGGGATACTTCATGTATTTGGGTTTCCTCCTCCAAAGCCTTCTTCAAAGTGGCCAATTCCTGTTCTCTCTTAGATCTCAATTCTTGTTGGGCTGCCGTGGAATCCAGAGAATCAAGCAACTCATTCTTGAGTGCCTCCAATTCCTCGTTGAGATCTCTCTTCATTTTTTCGGCTTTGCCTCTAGCTGCCTTCTCTGCTTCAAGATCTTCTTGCAGTTCAGTAAGCTGGCTTTCTAATTCTCTAAGTGCTTTCTGAGCTTGAGCTTTTTGCGCACTTTCTTCATCTACCTTAACCATGGCTTGGGTTAATTCTTCTTCCCTCTTGCCCAACTGAAGTTGCAACTCTTCAATTTGAGAACGTTTTTCATTGAGCTGTTCTTTCAAATCATTCACTTCCGTTTCAACTTTCCTCTTTGACCTATCAGTTTCTTGTCTTTGTTGATGGTCTTTCAGGAGACGCTCCTCTAGTTCTGCGATCGTGGATTCGTGTTTAGTTTTCAGCTTGGCTAGGTGCTTCGCTTTCTCTTCTTCTTCTGCCAACGCTTGGCTCAAATCATTGCTGCGCTCTTCAAGAACTTTCTTTTCTTTCAAAAGTTTCTGATTAGTGTCATCACTAAGTGCTAGATCCTCCTCGAGTTTCTTGATTTTATTATCACACTGTACTTTCTCCAACTGGATTTTCTGCCTAGCAGCCTCTTCTTCTTCTAGTTGTTCCTCCAGGTCTTGAATGGTTAACTGTAATTTCTTTTTGTCATTAGTCAAAATATTTGCCCTCTCTTCCTCTTCCTCAATTCTAGCTTCCAAGTCGTGGAGAATTTCTTCCAACTCTAGTTTTCGAGCAGTTAATCTAGCGCGCATTTCCTCAGCTTCTGCGCATAATTCTACTTCAGCTTGCAGCTGTTCCTGGAGAACAATTTTTTCTTCTTGCGCCTGCTGATATTTCTTCTCATACTCTTCAGCCGCTTTGATATGATGTTCGAGGTTATCTTTGACTAGTTTTAGTTCGTCTTCTTTCTGCATGAGCTTCTCTTCTTGCTTGGTAACTTCCAGCAAAGGCTTGACTTTGGTGTACAATCTCCACCACTGCCAGTTCCTTAGCTTGAGATATGCAGAACAATTCCTCTGTATAATTCGAATGGCGTTGAGCTGTTGGACTCTTTTTTGGTAGTTTCGCCGGGATAAGAAACCTCTACAGAACGCTTGGAAGTTGACTATGAGATCTGTGATTTTATAATCTCGTTCCTCTTCCAGATGGGCCAATACTCCAGCTCTGAAGAATATCTTCGACTGACCAACTCTGAACAAATTCTTGTCCAGTTCGAGAGATTTGATCATTGCCTCACAAGCTTTTTTGCCATCCATAAAGCCCTTATTTATAACATTTGGGGTCAGAAGCTCATACCTCTGCCTGAATTCTTGGAAGGGTATCCTGTTAGGGAATCCTTGACGACAAATACGGATACCCTCGAGTACACCATTGCACCTGAGTTGGTCCAGCACTAGAGGAGCATCAATTTTGCCAGCTCTCTTGTCGTGGTTGGGGATGATGCAACGAACAAAGTTGGGGTTGGTGTTGCGCAGAGTGACCATAAGATTAGCCAGCTGTTCCTTGTACAAGTAGGAAACGGTTCTGAACATTCCTTTGGCACGTCCTAACGTTTCAGCATCTTTCCAGATGTGAACAACGAAGGGGTCCTGGGAAGTTTGAAGCAAAGACACGACGTTTTCGTTTTGAGGATCCATGTTCTTTGTTAACCACTGGTTGGCACAATAATCGACCTTTCCGGCATAATGGATAATGGAAAAGTCAGCGACGCCTCGGAAGTCGCTCTTTTTGAATTTGGGGTGAATAGAATGAGCAGTGACTAACTTATCAACGAAAGTTTTATCAGTAGCTTTCGGGAAAAGGCATTCTTCATCGAGAAGGGCCATTATACCCATTGGTTTATCGATCAAATCGATAGTGGGTTGCAGGTCGAGACCAAAGTCGATGAATTTCCATTCAATGCCTTCGCGTTGGTACTCTTCTTGCTCCAGGATGAACATAGTGTGGTTGAAAAGTTGTTGCAACTTTTCATTAGTGTAATTGATACACAACTGCTCAAACGAGTTAAGTTCGAATATTTCGAAACCGGCGATATCAAGAATGCCAATAAAACTAGCTCCCTGCCTCTTAGTTCTGCCCAACGACCGGTTAATCCTAGTCACTAACCATTTGAACATTCGTTCGTAACAAGCCTTCGATACTGCCTCCACTGCAAACTCTACCTGCTCTTTTGTCTGGCTCTTGGTGACATAATCGCGACCGACTTTAATTCTTGGTTTGAGGAAAGCACGGGTCATATCGGTGACAGAGAGACCAAGTAAATGGGCAATCTTCTGGGCGACCGTGTTATCAGGAAGCGTTGCCTGATCGGAGCTACGATCCTGTTTGAATTCCATCTTGCTGAAGAGCATGACAGAAGACACGACGCGGAAAATGGCACTGAAATCATCATTGGTCATTCCCATGATGTTCATACTTTTGACGGTGGCTGCGAATTCTTGGGAGTCGTCTACGCCGGGGACTATATGATTGTCATCTCGCAAGAAACTGTACGACCTGGCATCTTCCAAAATGAATTCCTCTGAAAAATTATTTCATTTAACTTCATGCTAAAAATAAGACTGATTTGAGGATCTTTCAAAACATAAAAATTACATAACAAGTGCTAGTTTCTACGTGCTTCAATTTGATCCAACCAAGCAACATAGTTTTGAAAAACTTATTGCGCGAGGAGACTGGTTAGTAAAACAACCAATCGAAACATTTTTAATTTTTTTTGGACATATCAACTGGAGAACAAAATACATTCAATTCTCTCAATATCAGATTTTTACTGTGCTATTATAGCACAAAAAGTAAATTCAGCCCTCAACCTAAATCGACTTCAATATACTTTTTCGTTAATAACAGGTGATACCGACCTATAAGAACTGAAATGAATATTATTAGATATAAAAGTAATCATTTTTGAAGTCTTCCTAATTCTGCCTTGCATGGTGATAGTCCAGCTGTAAGGTTCACTTTTTTTGAGTTATTCTGAAGCTAAGCATGAGCAGGGACGATGAGATGGACATTCGCTTCGAGTAAGTATTAGATAAAATTAATTTGTCAGTTATTTATCATCATTATCAAATATGTGGGTATAAAAAATGTATTTTGCATGTAGTATATGTTGAATTTGATGTTTGCCAAAACAGTATTAGCTATGATGATTCGTTTGTTGATGTTACAAATAAGTAACGCTAGGCTTTCAGATATTTGGAACTGGACTTTTTCAACTTATGTCGTATTTTGATTCCAGGGCGGGTTTTACATTACAAGAGGCATTAGATATAGTCTATCTAGATAATATCGAAGAAATTTTCATTGAACCTCCTGATTCCAATGCTCTCAACGATGAAGACTCAGCCAATGAAGATGATGGAGGTACATTGGATAATCTTAGTGGGCGGCAACTACAAAGTAAAGTTGAAATAAAGTTTGCAAATTCAATAGAAAGATTGACTTCGAAAAATCAGACGAATGATCTGGTTACTTCAGACAATACCGCATTACATAATGGTAACATCTCATTACCTGAAAAGGTCAAACCGAAAGATAATATTATCTGGGAGGAAAATGCCGATATAGTAGTTTCCAGAAGTCGAATATTCCCGGTACAAAACTACAATATGTTTCTTGAAAAGTCTCCTGTTGAAATCTTCGAAATGTTTATTGATGACAATATAATAGAATTATTTGTGAGAGAAACTCAGAAGCATTCACTATTCAAGAACTGTCCCGATCCACAAGTCACTTCCGAAGAAATGGAAACATTCATAGCCATATTGATATTGAGTGGGTATGATCCCAAACCCAGTAAACGACATTTTTGGGACAGTTGTTTGGACATGAAAAACATAATGGTGAGCAATTCCATGAGACGTGATCGATTCGTTCAGATAATGAGATTCATTCATTTGGCTGATAACAATTCCATTGATACCACTGATAAAATGTATAAATTATGACCCCTGATCAATGCCCTCAAGACAAAATGTTTGCAGTATTTTGTACCACAAGAACACTTGGATTTTGACGAATCGATGATAAAGTATTATGGACTTCACAACTGTAAACAGTTTATTTGAGAAAAACCAATTCGCTTTGGATATAAAATGTGGTGTCTGAATGCAAAAGATGGATATCTTGTCGACTTTGATATGTATCAGGGTAGAAACCCAAATGCTGTCAATGAATACGAACGCCTTTTTGGAAAATGTACTGCACCATTTGTCTCGATGCTAGCAGACTTGCCACATCCTGAATATCCTTATAAATTTTACTTGGATAATTTGTTTATTAGCGTAGATTTGCTCAATTTCTTACGCTTCAAAGAGTACGGGGGAAGAGGTACTTTTAGAGATAATAGAGTTCCAAATAGTTATCCACTTGCCCATAAAAAAACGATGCAGAAAAAAGATCATGGTAGCTATGTATCTGCAATCGATGAAAATCATGAAGTAATAATAGTCAAGTGGGCAGACAATAATATCGTAACAGCTGGTTCTAACTGTTATGGTGTGAATCCCATAGGATACGTGAAAAGATATTCGAAGACTGAAAAAAAATTCTTAACTGTTCCTCGTCCATTCCTTATTGGCCAATACAATAGTAGTATGGGCGGTACAGATCTGATGGATAAGGGAATATCATCATATCGAATCGCTATAAGTTCAAAGAAGTGGTGGTTGAGTATTTTCACCTGGTTATTAGATGCAGCTATCTTCAATTCATGGGTACTTTATAAAAAAATATTCAAATAAGCCAACTAGATTTTCGTAGAGCCTTGGTTCAAAATTATTTAAGCCGCTATGGGATTGCTCCAAAAAGTGCTGGAAGGCCTTCTACATCCAAATTTAGTCTCTCACTAAATATAATATCCGATGAAGTGAGATATGATCACCTTCTGATGTCGATTCCGAACAAGAAACGTCGACGATGTGCTGGGGAAGGGTGCTCTACGAGCACTAGAACTATATGCAAAAAGTGCGACATAGGACTTCGTATTGAGTGTCATATTATTTTTCATACAAAGACCAGGTAGCCCTCGTGTTTGTAGGAACGTAATATATTTCTTCAATGCTGTAACTGAATGACCTAGTGTTACTAACATGTAACATGCATTTGTTGTTATTATTCTAATAAATATTTCAAAAATACTTCATTTTTGAATACTACATTTACCCCAATAATGCCTTCATGTTGATTTTCTACTGAAAATTTAAAAGTGAATAAATTCCGGTCATAATGGGTTAAAGATGAAATGTGAGGCCGAAAATTTTGCAGACCACGACTAATGAATGAAAAATAATCTGTTAGAAACTGGTCGTGAAAAAATGCAAACCACGAGAGGGAATATAAATATTGAATAACTTTCTTCGTGTTTTCTGTCTTTCCCGCACCAGATTCTCCAGTACATAGGATTGATTGGTCTTCCCTTTCTAAAAAAAAAAAATCAAATTTGACAAAACCTATTTATCTAATGAATATATATTTCGATTCTTTAAGTCGGCTGGTAGCCCATTACAAGTCATTATTTTTTGCATAATATAATTTTTAATGAATTCAAACAGTTATGGCTATAAAAAAGTATCTATCATGACAATGTTAAATCCCTTCTAGATATTGGTGACAGTTCGGATTATGTTATCTGTTTAGAAAATGGTCGTAAATGACCCACCAGAAATCTAACAGCACGAATAATAAACTCGCCTAAGTAAGACTTCATTTCCTTCATGACAAAATGATTTGTATGATAATTGATAAATATATTCCAAAAATAAAAAATGGATTGCCACAATACCACAATAATACACCTAAATAACCAATAAACTACCCAGCTACCAGGAATAGAACAAAATTGAAATGTCAGAATATGAGGAGGAACAAACAATTAAACATGTTCACGAATCACATGACACCGAAGTACACTTTAAACATGAAATCAATGGTTGAAGTTACTAACCGGGAAAAATGAACATGCCTGACGGGTCGAACACAACATGAGACATGAGCCGATAGTTTGTTGAACATGCATGAAAAAAGTTTCCCATTGTAAATGGAAACTTTTTTCAAGAACAAAGCACAAGCACTACAGGAAACTCCTTAAGGCGCCTGTGCGAAAGTAGCGATGCACGTTGGATTTGAATCGCTGGAGATTAAATTCATTTGGAAAAACGTTCTCAAGAAGTTCATTCAACATAAACGCAGTTCTCCAAATGAAAGAGTTCTTAAACAGAGAAGTTCGAGGTGTACTGAGTTGAACCTCAAAACAATTAGCAGCCACAGTCCGTCGCGTATTTCTGATATGTACCGCCCTTTTTGGAATGAAATGTGCCAAGTCATTTGAACACCTCCCGTAAAAGTATCTATAGATGTTCTAGATTATCAAGATTGCATGTGATGTTTGTGTCTCCAATCAGGCGGATGGCTCCTTTCTGGATATCAACCTAAATCGACTTCAATATACTTTTTCGTTAATAACAGGTGATACCGACCTATAAGAACTGAAATGAATATTATTAGATATAAAAGTAATGATTTTTGAAGTCTTCCTATGTCTGCCTTGAATATAATTGCTTTCAGGTTTGGATAATTTTCTTTGTCTCAAACTAGCATTGCAGTATTGAAAGGGGGGATATAAAGGGTACATCTAATTTCAGACTTCTCTCTGTTAACATTACTTTCAAAATTAATTGAAAAATTATTGGAAATAAGAACGCACATAAAAGTCAACAACTCTAAAACAAGCGCTGCTCCCAATGATCAGAAATGTAATACTCTTCTCGACGCGTGCTTCACCAACCAAGTTGGCTCCCCGGGAGATGAACACAGCTTCATCTCCTGACGACGATGGCAACCAAGTTGGCGTCCCAGTTATTTTTGAAGGACAGAACACAAACACTACAGGAAACTCATTAAGGCGGTCTAAGAAAGGTGCCTGTGCCAAAGTAGCGATTCGCGTTGGAGTTTGCATCGCCATGATATCATTGATAGCAAAGCGACTTGTCTATAGTTGTTTGGAATATTTTTTGTCCTTTTTGGGAATAGGCTGAATGCGAGCAATTTTCCAACATGAAGGAAAAACCCCTTCCAAGTATTGCATTTCTGGTGATTGAGAAAAGTGCCTGTTTTGGAAAAAGTGATCATTAACTGTTTTCGGGTTTATTGGTCGTGGTCTGCAAGTTTTTGAACCTGACATATCATCTGCAACTGCGGCATACTTTAACAGAGGCGATGCGGCTGTGGTCGCCGATACATAAAATGAAACTATAATGGCACTGGATAATCAGAAGTCTCAGTATCTGTTCGGCGCGACTCTTCTTGAATAATTGGGATAATCTATGAATTGTGTCATACCGATATCAATATTTTATCGATAAGGTATATGGGTCAAAATAACAGGTTATACTGAATACCAGGTATTCAGTATTAAAGAAGGCCAGCAATACAACTCTGATCGACATCCCGCCAGCAGGTTACCTATCAACAACGTGGACCAGCTGGGTTAGAACGACACAGCAGAAGTACGGATCAATCAGAACGACCGAGCAGAAGTGCCGACCAATCAAGAATGAGCATTCGCATGTACGCCACATTGGCTCTACCATCTATACCCTCCAATATTATAAATAGGAGTGACCAGAGAGCTCACCAGCCAGTCGTTGCTGAGACTTATAGATATATCCTTCGTCCTCACAGTCAATGCATAAGTCAACGCACGGCATATCGCCTCGGTGTAAGTTCAATGTCTGCCGCAATTAACCCATTATGACCTAGCGTTACTTATAGGTAACACAGTTAAAGGTTTCTTCTAATTGCAATAGCTGCCCTATTTATGAGATTTTTCACTAGATGGCATTGTGTACCTCATCTTCGAATGTCGAAATATCAAAACGTTCAGTTGCATGGTGATAGTCCAGCTGTAAGGTTCACTTTTTTTGAGTTATTCTGAAGCTAAGCATGAGCAGGGACGATGAGATGGACATTCGCTTCGAGTAAGTATTAGATAAAATTAATTTGTCAGTTATTTATCATCATTATCAAATATGTGGGTATAAAAAATGTATTTTGCATGTAGTATATGTTGAATTTGATGTTTGCCAAAACAGTATTAGCTATGATGATTCGTTTGTTGATGTTACAAATAAGTAACGCTAGGCTTTCAGATATNGAGCCTTGGTTCAGAATTATTTAAGCCGCTATGGGATTGCTCCAAAAAGTGCTGGAAGGCCTTCTACATCCAAATTTAGCCTCTCACTAAATAGAATAACCGATGAAGTGAGATATGATAGAACAGATCACTTTCTGATGTCGATTCCGAACAAGAAACGTCGACGATGTGCTGGGGAAGGGTGCTCTACGAGCACTAGAACTGTGTTTAAAAAGTGCGACATAGGATTTTGTATTGAGTGTCATATTATTTTTCATACAAAGACCAGGTAGCCCTCGTGTTTGTAGGAACGTAATATATTTCTTCAACGCTGTAACTGAATGACCTAGTGTTACTTATATGTAACATGTATTTGTTGATATTATTCTAATAAATATTTCAAAAATACTTCATAGGCCCATACACTGTCCCCTCACTGTAATGTGAGGCCGAAAATTTTGCAGACCACGACTAATGAATGAAAAATAATCTGTTAGACACTGGTCGTGAAAGAATGCAAACCACGAGAGGGAATACCATCACAGAGTTGATATATCTTCTGGGGTGATTTATTTGAACGATTTGGCTGCTATTCCGATTCAAGGAAGCCTAATAACAAACTTTTCTTACTTTTCTGAGCCTCGGAAGCACCAGCCAGGAGTTGATAGAAAATGTGGAAGGTCCTTTCCTGTTTAGCTTGTCTAATGGCACGGGATTTTTCTAATAAATAAGTTTCTATGTTCGCTCCAGCTATATAACCTGAAGCGTCGAAGTTAATCCTAATAAATTTTCCCTGAAATATGAAACAATCAGAAAATGTGTAAATCATCAAAATCAAAGTTTGTGTGGCATCCACGACTGTCGTTGGTTATTTAGCTTATTTCAATTTGTGAAACGTTTCGGTCGATAATGATTTTCAACCAACATGAGATTATTTCGAAACCAATTAAACTTTTTCATGTACCCTAATAACCAGTAGCGTAGCCAGGAATTTCGTTCTCGGGGGGAGGGGTCCAAAACCAGGGGGGTCCAGGGGTACCTCCCGGAAAAATTTTTGAAAAACAGGGTACTAAACTAAATAGAGGGTTTTAAACTAAGTTTAACTCTTTCCATAATCGAAAAAACTTCATATTTCAAAGAAATCTTTTTTAAACTAATGAAATTTCAATACTTTTATTTATTTAATGATGAAGCAAAGTAATTGTGATTTATCCAAATAAACATAAATATAGTGTTGTAGTTTGTCCAGTGGATCACAATCTTTCAGATAGATGAGTAAGGATAGAGAAACAACAGTATAGAGCAATAGTTAAGATATATTTATAACGTTAAACATTACATGAATGAATCTAACAAAATAATGCACTAATTTCTTATTTCCACTTCTGACCATTTCATTGATTACTTCGCCACTATTGATTCGAGCTGGATAATGAATTGACAGTAGAGTCAATAATTCATGATTTAAACAAAAGGACAAACCAACAATGATATGATAATTTAATGTTTGTAGACAAGAGTAATGATAGCTTTTCTTTCTTTAACCTGTTCCATGCTTAATTCATTTTTTAATATGTCTTAAAATATCGGAGGGGGGTCCGGACCCCTTCCCCCTTCACTACGCCACTGGTAATAACATTCAGATGTTATTGAAAAAATGCGAAAACAACAAGTACACCCAAGAACTGCTATGAAAATTAACTTTCCATAGGGATAACAAGAAATTTAATTAGTGATTAAATGCCATTTATGAATCTAAAAGAAAATGAACTGTGAAAAAATTGAAAAACTACTGTGAATTTAGTTAAAATCCACCAAGCATCAGGTTTATAAAACCAAACACATGTAACTTTTATGAAACAAGCTGTAAGCACTAATAGTTGTACTTGTTTAGAAACCCAAACTTTTACAAAATGACAAGTTCTGACACAGTCCCAGTTATTTTCAAGTCTCATCCTGTGTATGTTGTATTAACCCCACTTATTATGCTTAGAATTTTGGCTTTTCGGCTAAACTTATATTCTAAAGGTCACGCTTAGATAGAAACATATACTTACAAATCTTGAAGAATTGTCATTCTTTATCGTTTTTGCGTTACCAAAGGCCTCTAGAATTGGATTGGCTTGAAGCAACTGTTGTTCGAGTCCGCCCTGTTCATAAAAAAATCATTTATCCAATTTCTAATAAGAATTGACAGGAATACTAGAATGTTAGTACTTCGCCACAATGTGAGAAATGATCAGTTAGATGAACGAAAAAAAAATTATGGAAATAAAAATTACTGACGATCCCGACAAAGTTCACAGTAAAATTTATTTAAGTTTGTGATTTGAAGTATTCTTATTTCTGAATATCGTTGTGATATATCAGATTTATTCCACTGATCATGATTCCAAATTGTAAGGTATGAAAAATGTTGAAATGATTATTCAAATTCATAATTTTTTCCCAGGAAATAGAGACTAAGAATACAGTAAATATTAATAATTCAATAGATAAAGAAACCATTATATTACAAAACGTTTTCCCTTCAAGCAACCAGTTATTTGTTTAAATTGTACAAAGTATAACAGAGAACTTCACAGTGTATTTTGATATTTCCAATATCTATTTCAAAATTTTATAATTCGCTTCATACAATTCTAATTTGTGAATTTCATAGAGTTGTGAATAGAATATTTCATATTTTCGAAACCGAACTTATATATTCCAATGTTATTAATTAACATATTTTTAAAATGTATCAATCAAACCTGAAATGTGATAATTGAAAGAAAAACTGCCTGAAGACTGTATCGAGGAAAGGTATAGTCGAAGTAAATGATATTGTGCACATTTAAAATTGGCGGCACTCTCAAAGGCCAAAAAAAAACAATACATAGAAATGAACCGGCAGCAAACTAGTCCATGTGGACTGAGACATTGGCGGTTCGTATTGGATAATTTTACTAACCGAAATTTATGATTCCAATAGCGATGGTGAACAATGCGAAAAAGACATACCAGTGAATAAGATTCGGAAGCATTTGAATATTGAAACATAGAGAGTATGTTTCAATGTATATAAGAATCTACATCTCAAGTTTGGTTTCGAGGGAAATAAACTATTACAAGCAACATCAGATTTGATGTTGCTTAAATGTAGGTAAAATAGTCAAAAACAACACTTATGAACGCAAGACGCGATGTGATACAAGATTACCAAAACCTTAAGATGTTCATCTAATAAAATCATTGAAAAAAAAAACAATATACGACTGTTCCTACAAATGAAATCATAAGGAAGAAATTGAATACTTCCGGCCATAAGGTGAGCTGCTGTGACAAAACTCTTCAGAATTGGATAAAGAAACTAGAATTTATATTTAAAATAATAAACAAACGTCAAGCAGTTATCGAAAGCAGAAGAATAGTGGAATTGCGTAACAAATACTTAGAACAAATAACTAAATATAGACAAAAACAACGACAAATTTTCTATTTGGACGAAACTTGGTATGACACTCACGACACAGTTACGAAAGGGTGGACTGATTGTTGGAGAATATGTACGCCTAACATGCCTGCCAACAAAGGATCGCTACTAATCATTGTGCATTGCACAGGAAGTAAAGGATGACTGCAATGTTGACTATCTTAAGAACATGGAAGCTAATATTTTTGAGGAATGGTTTAAAAACACATTGATGGAAGTTACTTCCAATGAAGAGGAGATTTCTATGAGCAATTAGACGGCTTAGCGATGGGAAGTCCACTCAGCCCAGTGTTAGCCAACTTCTTCATGGAGAAATTTGAGAAGAAGAAATTTGGCTACGATACGTGGATGACACTTTCGTTATCTGGACATATGGGAGGGACAGACTGAACCTATTTCTAGACCACATAAATGCTCAACACCCTAGCATCAAGTTCACCATGGAGACTGAACAGGAACAACGAATAACTTTTCTAGATGTAATCGTCTAAAGGAGTGGCACAAGACAGACACATAAAGTGTACCGAAAACCGACACATACGGACAGATATCTGCATGCACTTTCGAACCACCATCCAAGTCAAAAACGGGGAATTACCAACAACTTGACGGAACGTGTCCGTAGAATATGTCAACCGGAACACCTACAAGAAGAATTGGAGCATCTCAAGTGGCTTTACGATCGAATTGATACAGTGTAACCGAGATCAACAAGGTCATGAAACTGAAGACTTCTACAAGTCAAAATAGGGAGGAAACTCAAACGGTTGCACGTGCATTTCTACCGTACACCCATAGGGTTACAGACAGAATTGGAAAAATCTCAAGGAAACATAAACAGTGTTCAAGCCCACCAGGAAAATACAACAAAGCCTTAGAGCTGCGAAAGACAAAAGAGATCCACTATCTGCTGCGGGGGTATATCGTATACCATGCACCTGCGCAAAAGTTTATATCGGTACCACCAAAAGATCCATGGGTACAAGGCTGAATGAACATCGGAGAAACTATAGATTAGGTCAAATAGAAAAATCGGCAGTGGCAGAACATGCGTTTGGTGGAGATCATCATACGATACTGTTTGAAGATGAGAAACTACTTGCACCAGATCATGGATACCGCAGTCGGCTTGTACGGGAAGCCATAGAAATCCATAAACATACGGAAAACTACAACAGATAAGAGCAGGCGATAACGTTTAACAGAATTTGGAATCCCATACTAAAAGATGCTAAGGTGGCAACAGTGAAATGCAATGTAACGTCACAAACAGGTAATAACACTTTGGCCAATAGCAATGCATCAACAAGAAAGGCGGGCTACCTTAGTGAACATAAATACAACCTACGAACTAGAAATCACCAGTCATCGGTGAATCATCAAGATGAATAAACCTCTGAAGAAGCCAGCAAAATAATACAATACTTATCTTAACGTTTCGGAGGTCAAAATCTGCCTCCGTCTTCAGAAATTGACAAAAAAAATTTAATATATTGGCAGTTATTCCTTTTTGATTATTTATTTTTTTAAATACGACAAGTTACTGATAAATATAAGATTTTTCTTTGTGAAAAATACTTTGATTTTTACGCAGTAACTTATCGGGGTAAACTAAAAATTTTGCCCTTCTACACTTGTATAAAGTTCTCCATTATAATTTTTATAATTTTCAGATTGTGGAGGTAACAGATACCCAAAAAAGGTCGATAAAAAAGGCATTTCTTATTTTAGAAAAAAGGTATTTCTCATTTTCGGATAAAATTTTTGTATGGTCATTTATGAAAGTAGATGAATGTTAATGATACTTCAATTCTGTTGAACTTCCACAAAATATTCACACAACTGTAACAACAGAAAATTATAAATATCATCCACATCTGTTTTTGATGATTCATGGACATATGATCGCTGTGAACTTTGCGAAAATTGAGGAAAAAATAAAATACACATTGAACTTCTAGAATGACGGTTATTAAGCTGGAGTTAACAACAAAAAAACGGCACTGCTGCAATGTATTTGTTGAAATGAACCATCGGACAAAATTGCGTAAGACACCAAACTTACATACCGAAAATTCTCTCGAAGGACTCTGGCATTGACCGCATGTAAGGAAAAAAATAATGCTAATATCAATTTTTGTCTATAAATAGAAACCTTCTAATATAACTACTACATATTTTAGATAATGACATCACCAGGGCCTGATAACGTTAAAATACTTATAGCAGGAATACCTAATTGCGGGATATTATACTACTTTATCAGATTTCCTAATTGTTAGACGTAGACTCATTATTGTTGCAACTAATTCAAACGAATAGAGATACCTATGCACAATAAACATTTCTACTAAGAGTCTATGTCAATTATTTCATTTTTGCTAAAATATATTTATGGCAAACTTGGTTATTGATAACTAATTCTAACTCCACAAATGAAAATACTTTTGAAGTGATCTTCAACTATGTTAGTAAAATTTGGGCGTCTCACTCAATTATAGAACATTAACCCTACTTCAGTTATGACGCCATCAAATGTGTTTTATTAAATCTATACTTATATAAATGTGAAAGTTTGTGAGGATGGATGTATGTATGTATATTTGTGCCTCTTTCACGCGAGGTGTTCAAGGGAGGGAGGGGGTCGAGTCAAATCTCATCTAATCTTACGTTGGAGAGAGGGGGGTCTCGGCGAATATCACGCAATTTTTTTCTGATTGAAACAAAAAAAAATTATACTATTTTGGTCCATTCAATCCAGATTGTACATGAATGGGATTAAAAACTCAAAAATAGGGCAATCCTCTCAAAGGCATGCACTTTTTCAAATGTTTTTGTCTGTAAAACTTCAAGTAGGTGGTTTTTGGTATAGGTAATCTTCAAAATAAAAATTGTTATCAAGCTGTCGCGAGTGATAGGAATCGTTGTCTAGAACTATTACACTATTTGTATCCAAATTTGGGATCAATGTGTTTTCAAACCATTCCTCGCAAATATTTGCTTCCATGTTCTTATGATAATATTCAGGTACTTCGTTTACAGGTACTTTGATTTCAGGTACTCCATAAACTATATATATATTTAGTATTGAATGTGTAGAATTAGTTGAAAGACACGCCTGATGAAGCCATTGTATGGCGAAACACGTGTTGCGTTTTTGTAAAACAATTTAGTGAAAATCTCACAATAAAGTGTTTTTGGAATACGTTAATTATGAAATTAGTTAGCTCCCTAACTATATTATCAAAGGGGAGATGTTGGAAGGTAGGTTGCACTATATCGTTTACTTGAACTATACACCAGGCTATAAACTTAAATAAATCAATCAATTTCTGACAGTAACGCATTATGAGGTAGTTTCAACGAATGCATTGAAATTTCCATTTCAACTTCTCAGTTTATTGATTCAAAGCATGACAACATCGTATATCCAAGAATGATTAATTACGTGGCAAAGAGAAATCAGAGAAAACGCGTAAATAACACAACATTTTATACTGTTTCTCAGTAAAACAAACATTTTTCGAGTATTACTTGGTAAAATGTTATCTTAATGACTTACTCTCGAGGAATGTTGTTAATACCCACAAAATTCCAGAACGCTCAAGAACTAGTCGCATATCAAAAGCAGCTTATGAAAAGAAAATATTCATAATGACGCTTTGGGAGACTTTCGTCTTCATCACACATAATATGGTCGTTACGGTTGACTTAAGTACGTATTTATTTTACATGAAGCGAACGCATTCCGTAGTGTCGAAATTAGATCTTTCCTGCTTTCGATTCATTATTTTAGTGTGAGAGTTGGTGAACAATTCTGGGTAGGGTCTTGAGGCACTGGAAAAATATTCGTAATTGTTCTTGAATGACCCCTAAATGAGATTGTCGAGGTCTGNTGCCTTTTATATTTCGGGATTAGAGAACAAAAACAAATATTAATCATCGAAAATCACTTTGTTGTTTTTAGAAATATTTCCCATGAAGATCTATACACTTTGCATGCATTTGAACCAATTGTCGAAGCACTTTTGCCACTCTGATTGAGGTATCTCCAAAACATGCATGCTGAATGCAGCAACCGCTTTTTCAGGTGTCGAAAAACATTGACCTCTTAGTTTGTTTCTTACGTGCGGGATTAAAAATAATTTGGTGCCAAGTCAGGACTATAAGGCGGATGACTCATCAAATCGATGTTATGGGTGCTCAAAAATGCAGTTGTTTGAGCCGATGTGTGAGAGCTCGCATTGTCGTGGTGAAGAGTGATTCGTCTTCGGCGGTTAGTTTTCCTGATTTCTTGGAAGACAACTGGCAAACAAATGGTTGTGTACCACGCAGAATTGACTGTTCTGCGTTGTACTAGTGGTACGGTTGCGACATGTCCAGTTTTTCAGAAAAAAAACAGGCGACCATTTGTTTGGAAGTGCTTCGTGCGCGAACAACTTTTGGTGGATTTGGCCCGTCCTGAAACACCCATACAGTCGACTGCTGTGCTTTGACAATTGGTTCAAACGCATGCCAAAGTGTATATATCTTCATGGGAAATATTTTGAAAAACAATAAAGTGATTTTCGATGATTAATATTTGTTTTTGTTCTCTAATCCCGAAATATAAAAGACAACCTCGTGGTACTAGAGGTTATGTAAAGTTAAAATACTCCTTTCATGCACACTACTAGTAAAATGAATTACTGAAAATCCTAAATACTTTGGGTACATGTTCTCTTAGTATTGTAACAAAAAAATATTTGCACAATTGAAAGAAAGGAAAAAAAAAAGAAAAGTTTAAACTAACATCTCCAAGTTTCTCTTCCAGAAAATATAAATTGATAGAACTATTTTTGGAAATGAATCACTTTCAAGGGTATCTTATCAACGAATGAGACGATATCAGTCATGTCACTGAATAAATAATTCAAATTCACGGTTCAGTTTTTGTATTTACAATGAGAAGCGAGATTAATAGAAAAAAATAGGTACTACTTACGATAATGTCTTTCTGCTGTTTATCCCCAAAACGACAACATGCAAAGAAAATTATTATTAGAAAATATCAATCACCACAGAAACCTGTGTATGTATAAAACAATTGAATAGTGACCTGATGGCGGACACTGTGCAAAATTATTGAATATAAACTTTATTTTCGACTTAGACATGCAAATTTATGCATAATGTACAACTAGTCTAACAGGGTATATACAAAATGCTCGTATAACAGTGGAAAGTTGTAATAAAATTTCTTACCGCCCCCGCCCCTTTAGGAGATTTTGAAGCAGCTACGTAGGCTAAATATTGAATAACTTTCTTCGTGTTTTCTGTCTTTCCCGCACCAGATTCTCCAGTACATAGGATTGATTGGTCTTCCCTTTCTAAAAAAAAAAATCAAATTTGACAAAACCTATTTATCTAATGAATATATATTTCGATTCTTTAAGTCGGCTGGTAGCCCATTACAAGTCATTATTTTTTGCATAATATAATTTTTAATGAATTCAAACAGTTATGGCTATAAAAAAGTATCTATCATGACAATGTTAAATCCCTTCTAGATATTGGTGGCCGTAGAATATGTCAACCGGAACACCTACAAGAAGAATTGGAGCATCTCAAGTGGCTTTACGATCGAATTGATACAGTGTAACCGAGATCAACAAGGTCATGAAACTGAAGACTTCTACAAGTCAAAATAGGGAGGAAACTCAAACNGATGTTCTACTAATAAGTTTCTGAGTCATTGTGCTGAAAGTGACACTACTTTTGTTATTTTTAAAACAATGAACCAAAAACAACTTCGTGTTTTAATTTTATACTGCTTCTTGATGGGAAAAAATACCGTTCAAGCAAAGCAATGGCTTGAAAAGTGTTATAAGGATTCCTTTCCATCAGAAGCAACAATTGAACGTTGCTTTGCTGACTTCAAACATGGTCGTAGAGACATCGATGATGCAGAACGCAGTGGACGTCCAAATGAGGCAGTAACACCAGAAAACATCGGAAAAAAATTCACCGAATCATTTTGAATGATTCAAAAGTGAAGTTGCGTGAGTAAGCTGACATTTTTATGATATCAAAAGAACGTGTTGGCATTATATTGCATGATCATTTCGCTATGATAAAGCTCTGTTTAAAGTGGGTGCCGCGCGTGCTCACTGTTAACCAAAAACAAGAACGTCTTAATGATTCTGAGCAGTGTTTGGCCACGTTTGAATATAACAAACCGGAATTTTCGCATCGATATGTGACATTGGCTGAAACATGGATCCATCACTTCACTCCGGAATCAAAACGGTCGTCAACTTAGTGGAGAGCAACTGGTGAACCTTGTCCAAAGCGCCTGAGAGCACAACAATCCGCTAGAAATGTTAAGGCCTCGGTATTTTGGCATATGCGTGGTATAATATTCATCGACCATCTTGAGAAGGTATTATATAGAGTTATTGGAGCTTTTGAAGGCCGAAATTGCAAAAAAACAACCGCATATTGCAAAGAAAAACAATTAGTTTCATCAAGACAACGTACAGTGTCACGAGTCAATCAAACCAATGGCATAACTACATTAATTGAACTTCGAATTGCTCCCACATTCACCGTATTTTCCAGACTTGCCTCCCAGCGACTACTGGCTGTTCGTAGACCTCAACGCTCAATGCTCAGCGGTAAGAAATTTCGCTCGAATGAGAAGAGGTTATTGCTGAAACTAAGGCAAAAAATAAATCGTTCTACAAAGGTGGTATTGAAATGTTAGCCGGCGCTGAAATGATTGTGTGACTCTTGATGGAGAGTACGTTGATGAATAAAGCCAATTTTGAACAAAAAACGCGTTTTCTTTCTCAGGCCCGGGACTTTTCAGCCCATGTGTTAATTTAAAATTAAAACAAAATAATACATATCGGTTGTAATAGTTATTGTTTAAATTTCAAATCATTGTCAAAAACTGAATTTTTGAATACATTAAAAACCCTCATACTCATATCATAAATTTAACTTTCAAATTGGTCAAAATTCCGGCACATTGGAAAGAGGCGCTTGTTACTCTGGAAAATGTAATTTATTTGGGAACTTTAGACCAATATCGGTGATAAAAATAACTTCGCATAGCTTCTTGAACTCACACTAAAATCAAGGCTGATGAGTTTCTCTACTGAAAATCAAGTGTCATAAAATAGCTATTTATGATACGAGTGTTAAAAGTTAGATTTCATTTTGTGAGTGAATAAGTTTGTGAAACGAGCGTACCAAGTTGAGAAATTTTACGAACAAAATAAAACTTGCAACACAAATATCATACAAAGTTTTTTGTACAACTGTCCCGTTTTCATAATAAAATAGATAAGTTTAATATTCCTATAAAAACACACATTTCTTGTCAGTTAACTATTTTCGTGTTATCGCATTTGCTGTGAAGTGGCCTTGTCAGGTGACGCCGAATCCCCTGGTGGTTAATGTCTTGCATAATGAAGAACAATAATGAGGAATTGTGTATTACTGACGATATTGAAGAAGCTACAAAAAGAGCTTCAATTGAATTCTAACTAAAAAAATCGGCTCAGCAGTACGACATCGCATATTCTAATTTTCTTAGCTGGTGTAGACTCAAAAACCCGAAAGAAATTTCAGCGAAACCGCCTTCTTAGCCTATCACTTTGTGGAGCAAGTTTTCAATGATAAAGTCGAGTGCGCTCGTTAAAAATGGTGTTAATACAAGCAAATATTTAAAAGTAATAGCATTCTCAAAGCGGAAAAATGAAAGTTATAGGCCCAAAAAATGAAAAAATCTTACGTTTGAACAAGTCCAGAGGTTTATAAATGAGGCGCCAAATGAAAAATATTTGATGATAAGAGTNTCACAAGAATCGTATAGATATACGAAAAAGATACTGAAAATACTTGAAAAAAAGTCAGGGGTGAATCTTGCAAAATTTTACAATAAACTGACTGAATTGCTCATAGAATGAGTAAGTCTGTAAAAAACAACAAAACAACATAATAGTATATTTATGCGAATAGTATAATCAGTTATCAGAACTCTTCTTGATGGTATATGGTATCCATTATTTAAAACTGTAGGTACTTACGTATTTGGAAATCCATTACAGTGCCACATTCGTTAATTGTCATTTCATGTGAAACATTTTGAAGTTCCATGTTACAGGTCGACTTGAAAACCTATTCATCCAAAAATTCAAATTTATAGTTCGAATTAACTACAGAAAAAAAGTATGACAAAATAATAATTTTCGATCGAGTTTTACTTTTATTTCTTTTATGAAAATATAGGTGAACAAAACAGAAATTAATTTTCATTTTAATCAGTTATTAACATTTGGTGAACAAACTGAGAAGTGATTTCTGTATCATTCAAAATCCACAGGGATGGGAGAAATGGAACTGTTCTTCTGGTTTATTTCTAAAGGAAACATTTGTGGATGATCAGCTCATTGTTTTCAATTGAAAATGATGTTTGTTAATGTTAATTTTATTTTCGTTTGCAAGAACGCTGTCTGTTCAAAAAATATGGTTAATTTTAATTTTTCTCTAAAAACATCTATTTATTTATCAATTTATATTTTGTCCCTTTCAAAGTAGTACCCCTCAGATATAATAAATACACTTGTCAGCTATCTTCTCAATCGTCGCAAAACGCCGCCCTTTCATGCGTCTCTTCGAAATTATGGACAGAAAAAAGTCGTAGGGGGCCAAATCTGGTGAATACGGTGGCTGGAGCATGATTACTGTGTTGTTTTTGGCAAAATAATTACTAACAAGTAATGACGAGTGAATAGGTGCATTATCGTGATGCGACAGCTATGAATTGCTTCTCGCAAGCGGCGCATAATGTCAAGATAATACTATTTATTGACCGTTCGACCATGTGGCAAGAATTCCCCTGATGGACTACGCCATGATGATCGAAGAACACCTTGACCTTTGATCGAACTTGACGGGCTTTTTTGGTCTTGACTCTCCTGGGCTCTTCCATTGGGACGATTATACTTTGGTTTCGATGTCATAACCATTTACCCATGATTCGTCACCAGTTATGACCCTTTAAAGCAAATTTGGATCGCCATTGATGTCATTCAACAATTCTGGAGCGATGCTCATGCGACGGGTTTTTTGGTCAAAATTTAACACGCTTCATGCCCAAAATTCCCGTGAAAATGGCATGGCATATGTTAATCGATATACCGACATCCTTAGCAATTTCTCTAATGATGATTCGACGAATTCCCTTAACAATTTTCTCCACTTTCTCAACATTTTTATCTGTTGTTGATGTGTTGGAGCGTCCTTCTATGAAAAGCGTGTATCACTTGTAAACATTTTTCTGACTCAGAGTACAATCACCGTATGCCACTGTCAACATTTCAAGTGTTTTTGAGCACTAATTTTCGTTTTTTTTTTCAACAAAATTTGATGCAAATTTTTGTATCCTTTTTTCTTGATAGCAGAAAATTGCCGAAACGTGGTAAACAGTAGAAACTGTGAACATACAATCGAGAAGAGTGTATAGCTCAAGTAAACGATTTGTGCAACCTACCTTCTTCCAACAGCTCCCCTTATATAATATAGTTAGGGAGCTAACTGATTTCGTTATTCAATAATCATTTCTGATTAAATAAGAATCACAATAATTAGATACTAACTTTCTTCGAAAGCTTCTGATAACTCATCTTCCATATTCTCTGTTTCACTATCACCGGCGTTATTTAAATCAATAATGAATTTATTTCCACCATTAATATGGAAGTGTCCAATCTCCATATAGTCTTTTTGATATGAAATTACTTTTTTAATCTTTTTCTGCCAGTCTTCTTCGGTAATATTAGACAGTACCTTCTCACCAAAGTTTGGAACATTATTTTTACGTCTCATGCTTTGTTTCAATTTTCCCCAGATCAACTCGATGGGATTGAAAACTCCAAAATAGGGGGAAGTTTCAGCAATCCTCTCAAAGGCATACACTCTTTCAAATGTTTTTGTCTGTAAAACTTCAAGTAGGTGGTTTTTGGTATAGTAATCTTCAAAAAACAAATTATTATGTATTTTGAAACTTTGTATTTCATCTTTCCTTGAACCTTCGTTCGNTTTCTAATTATCAAATATTACTATTTCCAAAAATAATACTGGTTTTGTAATTGTCTCATTGATGTTTACTTACACTTAGGTACTTTACGTTTCGATATTGTTACACTAGCTCTACTTTACTCTACTCTCTACTTTACTGTATTCTTTCGTAAATGAAAAACATAGAGACATATCATTTGAAAATTATAAAACTTTTTGAAAGCATTAATTTTTCTCCGTATTCTTTTTTCTCAATGGTATTCTCAGTTAAAATAAATCATCGAAATATTTGACTGCCCAT